TTAAAAAAAATTCTTTGCAGTGTTAGTTTTAAAAGTGTTATAATAACATTTACTTATAATAATGGAAACTGGAGAAATAAAGAATTTCTTGAAAAATTCATTTCGAAATTCCTAGTGCTATAAGTACCTATCACATTTCTTTCATATTTTGAAATATTTCTCAAGTATTTAGGAGAACGGCAGTTTCTTGTTAGCTTTATAAATTTTTAGACAATTGTGCACTTCTCTCTTGCCCTCGTCTTGACAGTCCCATTGACTGGGCTTTGTTACTGCTCAGATGCAGTTGGGAATCAAATATACATTATGATTATATTGTGAATGCACTTGAAAAAAGCCCGGAAGAGCTGCTGTTTTCTATCAAATGGCTGAAGTGTTTTTTACTTCTGAAGTTATTTTACAATATTTATTTATTTGATTAATTTAAGTTCAAATAAATTCAAGTTTGTTGTAGGTTGTTTCATATTTGATGGACATTATTTGCTATCTTGTTTTATTGTTCAATATTTAACTAAAGCTTGCACCATTTGTTTTTGTTTTTTATTTGTTTTATTAGAAACTTCAAAGCCAATAAATCTAGCTATGATTGATATTTCTATAGCACATTAAGATAGGCGTTGGGTCTGTCGTCTGGCCTTTGGCCTGCTGACAGCAGCTCTTTTCGTAATACCCTTGATGAAGCTACAACTTGTGCTGTTTTTTATTTCACTTTGCTGACTTCAGTTTAATCCCTTTGCCTGGTGTTTATAAAAAATATCAACACACAGGCGCAGACACACACTTTACCCTGGCACAGCTTATCTGGACAGCTGAGCCAGACAAGTTGAGAGGAGCACAACACGAATTTGACACATGTCATAAGCAAAGCACAGAATACTTCTTCTATGGATGGGCCCAACTTGTATAAGCCACAAAAAAACAAATCACTTGAGGGCAGCACGGGACAAATAGCCACCCTCCCCGCCGTCCCGCCGCCCCTTCAACCGCGCAGAAGAAGGCGCGCAACTAGGCATTATTTGAATTAAGTGCATACTTAAGCGTAATTTATTGGAAAATCCACAAGAGCCTAAGGCCCGAGGGCGGGCGAGTGCAACCATTTAGCCAACAACAGATTGTGGGCACTATATACGTAGATATACGATATATATATTTAAGCAAGCGCCAGTGGGTTTACATAAATCTATTGTTTCAAGGCAATTCCTAGTTGGCCGGCTCATTAATCTGCAGACCTAGCTGCTAGCAGCTCAACCCATCCTCTGCTGGCATTCTATCTATGTCTCTCTGGTTATACTATTTGAATAGTGCGCTTCACTGTTTGCCCAAATGTCACTCGCTTTTTCACGCGTTATCTTAATAAACCCCAGTCCGAATGGGTTGTGCGTGGGTGTGTGTGTGTGGGTGTGTGGGATATTTGTGGTTGTGGTACTGTGCTGATTGTGGCTGAGTTGCTGCCTCTTCTGGCTCTGCTGCTGTCTTCTTTTCATTAGACTTGTATACATGTCCCCGGGGCAGTGGCATCTGCTTGCTGCCCTCTTAGTTTATGGTACGAGTAACGAGTTATTGGCATGCATTGAATTTTGCTTTTGGAATTTTTGTGTGTGTGCCGGAGCCGAAGAGCCAAAGAGTAGACAATCATTGGCATGTATAGAATTTCACTGATTTATGTTTCATATGAAAACTCAAGAGAGAGCGAGTGCTGCCCCGACCGCACTCTCCTTTCCATCGATATCACCCCCCAAAGGCTGAAACTGAATCTGAGTTGGAGACTGAGAGACTGAGGCCCGTCTCCGGCTGGTGACAATGCAGTGATTACATCTTTTGAGCATTTTACCCACACACTTCCGTTTTGTCGTCTTCATCATCATCATCGCCATCCGCCATGAAAAGAAAGGCATGCCTTTGCAGCAGAAATATTTTTGTGCTAGAGAAATGATAAATTTTTGATTAAAGGCTCGGCATATGGATGGGTGGCTGCATGACTGCCTTCTGCCTGAGTTTGGCATGCCTTTGATAGGCAACTCCAAACGAACGTACAACACACTCGAAACACAAGCAAAAGGTGTTTTGATTGTTTACTATTATGACTGCCAAACGCCTAGATACCCATTGTGCATTGAAGAACTAAAACTATTAACAGAGCTATAACAGAACTATGCAAATGTTATAAGCAGCCTTATAATTACTTGTAACAGACAACAAAAACATAACATAAACATGTTAACATAATTTAAATTTATACTCCAGTTGACAATGAATATTAAAGTTATATGGCTTGCCATTTGTTAATATGAAAATTGTTGCAAATATTACAAGCAGCCTTTTACAAACTTTTAACAGACCACAAAAACTCTACTCTATTTACAGAGTGTTCTAATAGAAAAGTTAGTCTTTTGATTTATGCCAATTATCCAAAACAAATATGCATTAATTTAAAATACTCCTCCAAAAAAATGTAACTTTATAGTTACGCTACGATATGCAATTTCTTACAAGTTGTTAATAGCCTCTCAAGTCAAACTCCTCCTGCATTTCACTTTAAATGGTATATAAATACTTTGCCAAGCTTGTTAAATTACATTTGCCAAAGCAATGTTCATTGAGTTTTCGTTGATTGCCAGTTAAGAATATTTGACAGGCGCTTCCCTCGCCGCTCTTTATCTCTCTGTGATTACTCGAGTTAGAGCCAGGGCTCGTTTTCATTCATATTCTCAATCAAATTCCAGTCAATCGCTGCTGTCAGCTATCCAAATGTTAATTTAAACAATTAATTTCAACATATGGCATTGAGCGGGCCAGAGAGGGATGAGAAAGAGAGAGTGTAGTATCTTTAACATGTCAATTTGCAAATTAAATACACAACATGACAGACGAACAGGAGACAGCAGCGGGAAGTGTGCCACAAGCCGAGCAACGAGAGTGAGATGGAAATGAAAATGTTGGAATTGGAGACGGGCCTGGGAATGGGAAATGGTGGAAAGACCAGACCACACAGTGCACAAGTGCACTAAATATAGATCTGATTTGGGCAGCAGTGGAGCGTAGAGTTTGTGACTGATTTCGAGTGGAACTGAAGAACTATACGATTGAGGACCACTACTTGGAAGCAGCAGCAGCCGCAACAACATCGAAAGACAACGAAGACTGGCACAATTTCTAGACAAATTTAATTGAGCCAAAGTGCTCACTTAAGCTCTTAAATCTCTAATTGTTTGCTGTCCAGCTAGCTTTAAATGGGGGTTAAAGTAGTTCAACCAGTGGGCACAGCACAGGTTGGTGTAGAAAATGCGTAGGATTTGAAATTCCAAAGCAATTTCCAAATTCAATTAACAAATGAATAGCTCAAATGATTAGAAAAGGAATTGCCCAATCAGCATACATAATAATTCTGACTAATTTTGCTGGTTAAATAGTTGGAAAGTTACCAAAACACATGTTCTGTTCTTTTATTTTATTGCCCAGACCAGAAACAAACTAATAAGTTGAGTCATTAGCTCTTGACTCTGGGTTCTCAGTATCTACAGGTTCCTTTTTGTTATCTTCCACCAACTTTTACCCAGGGAAACATATGTTGGCAACGCAAGTTCCTATAATAATAGTTCTTCGACTAGGGTGATTAGTCTTCTTGCTGTCAGCTACTGCTACTGACAGGTGGTTTAGAAAGAAAGAAGAAAAAAAAAACAAACGTACCCTCGACAATTGTCGGCGGACTAAAGAGGACCTTTATAGCTCTTGCTTATGGTTCAAGAATGCGCGTTTCCTGAGGTCAGTTGGGGCTTACGAGTTGAAAAGTCATTATACTTATATGGTGTATCGACAAAGAAATAATATAAAATAAAACAAGTAAGAGGTTCTAGTCGGGAGATCCCGACTAGGGGATACCCTGAACCTTCTTCTTCTTCCAACATCAAATGCATATATATATTCTATTTTAGAAGCTATATGTCCAGTTTGGTGAGTCTAGCTCCTATTATTTACCAAAATTGCTCAAAAAACAGAATATCGATTTTTATTGATTGCTTGGAAACGGAGTAAGTTATCGATTATCGAATCCTCGATCTGTGCGGGAACTAGGAGCATCTACATCTAAAATTTTAAGTCTCTAGCTCTTATAGGTTCTGAGATCCTTGCGTTCATACATACGGACGGACGGACGGACGGACGGACGGACGGACGGACGGACAGACAGACGGACATGGCTAGATCGACTCGGCTATTTATGCTGATCAAGAATATATATACTTTATGGGGTCGGAGATGCTTCCTTCTGCCTGTTTAAAACATTTGGATTTCGCACAAATACAATATACCCTTATACTCATTTTTAATGGGTTCAGGGTATAATAAAAAAAAAAAACTATAGTTATTCAGATATTAAAAATTTGAACATAAATATAGATACAAATTTACAGAAAATATTTAATGTACTTCTTATTAATTCACTAACGATTTTTCATGAATGCAATAATATTTCCAAAGAAAAGAGATCATCAAAACTCTATTTGTGGCATTTAAATCTATATCAAATATCAGAAACTCATTCGAAACTTATGTTTTTATTCATTGAACAGGTGAAGTTTAAGTCGTCTAACAGAAAAATCAAGTCCTTAAAATTTTTCCACAACCCAGCAAAAATATATGTATAAGATTGTATTGCCTCACACGCACTAGGCTAATATTTTTTTTTGGCTTTCCACAAAATGCAATATTGAAAACTTTAAATACAAGCCATCAAATATCAACTGTCACATTAGCTCCAATTCAGCTCCATTTTATTTTTTATTTAAGTGATATAAAGTGTGGCATTTATACATATAGATTTATATATATGTGTGTGTGTGTGTGCGTGTGTGTGTGTCTATATATTTATATCGCAGTCCGTAGCAATTTCCTGCCATTGCACTGACATAGACACGCTTGCCGAATTTATAGATAATTTTTCATGATTTTTCTTGACATTCCTGCTTCATTCTCTCTCTCTCTCTTTCTCTTTCTGCCCGTTGCAGATGCGCGCAGCAGGTCACAGCCGAACGGAGCTCACGATGATGAAGTTGCTGGCGAGGCGTCTCTGAACTGCTGACAGCCAAGTGCCAGTGCGTATCTCAAAGATACAAAGAACAACAACAACCAGAAGAAGTCTTAGCGCATTTCCGGCTGGACGCACCTACCTAACACGAAGTGGACGGCTGGCTACCTACGCACTCGCTGCTCGTCACTCGTCACTCGTCACTTTGCCACACGCTACTCGTCACTCATCACTCGCTGCTAGACTGAGGCGCTGCCCCTGCAACTGGCCAGCTGCTATCAGTTCTGCCGTGAAGCGCGGTCGCGACGGGCTGCAAAAAAAAAGGTAAATAAAGTGAGCGCGCCGGCACAACAACAATAACAATAACAACAACAACAACGACAACAACAATAACGACAAAAAATATCGAACAACGAAACACAATCAATATATAAATAGAGAGTGCGGGAAAAGCGTGAAAAATCCGGCAAACGGTCGCCAACAATCCTTTTGCCTTGCGCAAATATTTGTGGAAACGTGATTGCTGTTGACAAAGTGGCGTCCGCATACGCACTCGATACTTTCAATTAGGCACGTTGCTTATAAATGTGCCACAATGGCGCCGCCGTCCAGGACGACGACACCGTCAACGCTGCAACCACCGACGCGTTGTAAAGCCGCAGCCCTGGCAAAGCTACTAATCCTGCCGCAGCTGCTGCCCCAGCTCCTGCTGCTAGTGTTCGCCTGTACGGCTCACGCTGAGCCGTATTCGGGCGGCTTTGGCAGCTCGGCCATTGCCAGCGGCGGCCTGGGCTCCGTTGGCATACACATACCCGGCGGAGGCGTTGGCGTCATCACCGAGGCGCGCTGCCCGCGGGTTTGCTCCTGCAGCGGTTTAACCGTCGACTGTTCGCATCGTGGATTAACGCAGGTGCCGCGCAAAATATCAGCGGATGTGGAAAGACTGTGAGTACAAAATTATTTATATATCAATATTTTTATGTGGGCTTCACATTCAAGTGGGAGCAATCCAAAAGCAAGCAAATCAACAACAACAACAACAGGAATTGTGTGAAGCACGTTTAAGTTTCACCACGAAACTCGAATGCTCTTCATATATATCTATATATCTATTTTTTATCTATATATCTTTTTAAAGTTCGCCTTCCATTGAAATATTTTCAATATCTAGCTAATGCAGATCATTTCGTTTCACTTTTAGTTTATATATTACTTTATCTTTATTCGAAGTAAGGATAGTACATATGTTTAAAGCATAGATAGATTGAGCAGAAAGATTAAATAAAGATAAACAATTCTTATAAATAAATATACCCAGCATCATATTGTTATTAGAGTTTTCACTGGGCTTTGCTAAAAATATGAAAATTTCTACATACTCCACATACTTCCTCAAATAAACATACTTGCCTTTTGCATAATTATAATTGAATATAGCCAATGTCATTTCGCACGTGGTTACAGCTATTTGTTATACTTACAAATAATTAAAAAAAAAATAAAATGAATTTTCTTTTTAAAAGACAATATTTATATTAACGGTTCTATTTTAGGGCTCAATAAAAAACGATCTTAACAAAGAATTAGGCTGGGCTATTGAAACGCAGAAACTTGTTCATTAAAGAATTCGTGAATGTCATTCAAATATCTTCGAATGCAAATGAAATACGAAAATATTTTATTATTTTATTTATTATTTATCAAAAATGTAAATAGTATAAAAAGCAAAATGCCTAAATAAATAAAGCATAAAGCCTGGGGTAAAATCTGCTCTAATAAATAAACAAATATGCGGCGTTAAAAGCAACAAAATCTTGTAACTTTAAATTCAAGGTGAAAACGTTTAGTAAACAAATCTCAAAATTATGAAGTTGAAACAATTTATTTTTCAAGTTAGTTAAATAAATAGAAATATATATAAGAAATAGGCGAGAAGTGCAAATAGACTTCATATATAAAAATTGCAGATGGTGCAAAAATAAAATTGATTTTCGCCATTTATAAAAATCGAACATGCCGAGCGATAAGACCAGTTGTGGGGCACTTACATAACGCACACTTTTCCATAGATAGGTTTGCCCTGATATGATAATCAGGAATGCAAACACAGACACAAATATTTCCATGCCCTTCTATCTGTGGTGCTATTTGCATAGCGAACTGCATGAACTAGTTTCTAGCCTTGACAATGATCTATATTGAAGTTGAAGCGTATGCCATGTTATATAAGCATTTATAGTTATATATACATAACGCCAGGCGTTCACAGCTGAACATTTCTGGTATTTGACTAGTTAAATAACAAAAATCAGCATAGATAAACAACATAGGGCAACGGGTAAAAGGCAAATAAAGCCGTGACCATTTTGTGTCGATAACTACGGAAACAAATGGACAAATGTGTCTGCAGCAGGGCCAGCGGCAAGTCGGTTAAATCTGTCTCTACGTCTGTCTGTCGTCTTGAGCTGTGTCTCCGGAGTCGTACATTAAATCGCCATTAAGTTTATTAATTGTCGCCAAAGGAGGCAACATAAGCGCATCAGCGCAGGCCTTGCAGCCGCACAGTGGAGCCTTTTCATATATTTCGTTGCGAAAATTTACACTGACATTAGACATTGTCTTAATTCCAAAAGTATCTGAACGGGAATTACTGCCAAATCGGAGTCGAACGGTTCTTAATACTTAATTTGTGATGAACTCCACTTGCTTATCCCCTGGTGGTACCTGACCGGGCCGTTGGCTACTCTTCTGTGCCCCTGTGGCACAGGGTCGTACGGATTGACCACTCTCCTATGCCCTTAAGGTACCTCACTGGGCCGATTGGCTACCCTGCTAACCTCCCTTGGCTACTCGCTTATAGCTCGGTGGTACGAAAAACGGCGACTAGCCCCAGATTGACCACCCTGCTAACCTCCCGTGCTATAACGCCGAGTTCATTGGCTACTCGCTTACTCGTAGCCGCCCCGGTAATGCATGGTCGAGCCTATAGCCATTCTTCAGTGCCCCGGACGACGTACCAATTGACCACTCTTCTATAATCTGATGGCAGTGCCAATTGACCACCATGCTAACCTTCGGTGGAAGAACACCGGGCTAATTGTCTCCTCGCTCATCCCCCGTTCTTACGATGCCGTGCCAATTGGTCAGACTTCTATCTGCTGGTGGTACAATTGCATTTATTCAATTTGCCACAAACTTTGATTATTTGCGGTTCAATGCCGCCCCACTGTGCGGCCGCGTCCACTCTGGCAATTGTTGCATGCAACTTGCAAACGGGCAAATGCATTAAGCCAACGTCTGCGTTCGCGGACGCCACATAAATTAACGCGCCGGCAATTAGCAAGTGTATGCAAAATGCCACAGAGCAGCGCCCCAAACGCAACGACCCGCATCGCACCGCCCCCGCCCCCATCAAATCAAGCCCCAACAGACCTGTAGACCGCTGCGCAGCGACCTCAAAAGCGGCAGTTGCAGCCGCTGCTGCTGCTGCTATTATTGCTGCTGTTGTTGTTGTTGTTGTTGCTTTTTCTCTACATAAATTAATAACAGATATCAACGTCGGGAAACAACAACAAGAACAACAACACCATGAACATAGCCCAGTTATAAGCAGTCAGGCGCCCCGAACAGTCAAATAGCGCTCAGGGACACATTTGTTTTATGCAAAAACGAGCGAGAAAAAAAAAGAAAAATTATACGACAACAAAAACAAAAAAGCGGTGGAGAAAAATGAAAAATGAAAAAGCAAATGCAAAAACAGAAACAGAAAACATATCAACGTGCACGGCATATTTGCATTTTAAAATACCAAGCTCGTGTCAGGCACAGGGTGTTTCACGGTGCGCTGCGGAAAAGTTGTTATGGGAAAACCAGAAAACTGACCGACTGACAGATTGCAGATTGAAGACGGAAAAGAACCGAATGGGGAAGCAAATGACACACAAATAGGAAAACTCACTTGAAAATGAATAAAAGTAAATTGAAAAACTATGAAATGCGCAGAAATGTGGTTGCAAACGCAACATGTTTAAAGAACTTACGAAAATAAATACACAAAAAGGCAAAGGTAACAAAAAAAAGTGGTTGAAATATGAGTACTACTTATAAGGAAATTAATTGAAAGACGAAACATGAGCTACGCAAATGCGCGAAGGGGGGCACATACTTAAAAATATGATTGACAGTTTGATTTAAAAACCATAAAGGAAAAAGGAAAACGTATTCAGAACTTATGCGGCTCAAGTATTTTAATGAATATTTATGGCGAAGAGGTGGAGATTCAAATACGATACAGCAATTGAAAATAATCTTTACATAAGCGGGTTTTAACTAGGTGGCTGCATATTAAATTGATTTTGAAGCGAACAATTATATTTTGTTTATACTTTTGATTTATCTTCAATAAAGCTAGCATTGTTAGAGAACTGGAAAGAACTGTTGAATTGAATTGAATATAATGTGATCATAATATAATATTATTATATTATTTATCAAAAAACTATACAATATAACATATTAATAAAATAGAAATTCTATATTCTATTTGCAATAAGCAAACAATAAATTTATTAGATAAACGAAATATATTTAACATGGACACAAATCTTATAGCATACATCAAATCGTATTCAAAATGGGATTATTATTTTTAAATATATTATTTAATAACAATTTGATGTTTTCTTTTTATATTTTCTATTTTAAATGCCAAATGAATTCAATTTGAGGTAGTAAAACGGGTCCTACTTGGTTTTCCTTTACAATCAGCATTTTCCTTGTGCCGTGAGCATTTCCGCATGTTAATTTATTTGCATTTATTTAATTATAGTATAGCCCCTGCAACACACATAAAAATTACGCGAATAAAGTAAACCCTTCATTAGAAATATAATAAGAGCCTGTCGAAAGGCTTTGCTCAACTAGTCAGGCAGCATTAATTAAAGGATTCTTTTAGACATTTTAATTGATGTGACGTTAATGACTGACTGCATACATACATAAAAAGAACTGTTTATATTGGCCATGATAATCATCAGTTAAGTTGAGTCACCCTAATGCGAACATAGGCTCCATGTGGAACTAGCAGAACACACACACACACGCGCACAGGCCGTGCTTCGTGTGTGCACATCAAATATTGAACATGCCCACAACTATTGGCAGGCAGGCGGGCACTAGAATAGCAAAAACAATGCTCAAGCGCAAAACTGGGGCCAGGGCAAATGTAGCCCAGCCCCAGCCTAGAACCAGACCAGTGTAGCCAAATGCCGTTTCAAAAAAGTAGCTGAATCTAATGTTAAAATAGCTAAATGTTAGCGGGAACTTTTCAGCGTAGCCAAGAACTAGCCAAATCAGCTTAGATTCCCAAATACTTCCCGCTGACAAACTTCACAAATATACTAATTTAGCTATAAAATAGCTATATTTACAACACTGAAAGCCAGAGCAGGCCCCAGTCAAGCCGACTTGCCATTTAATTACACAGCAGCGACAGGGCTATGTAAATGGGCATAGTTACTGAGTGAAAGAGATAGAGAGAGAGAGTGACAGAGAGAGAGTGAGAGAGGGCGAGTAAGAATGAGAGGGAGGATAAAATTAGAATGGAAGCTTAGCCGGCTGTCTGTCAGTCAGTCGGGCAGACACCCACACGTTTTATACAATAGACACGAAAACCGTTTTGCATATATAATTTTGGCCCAGGTCAAAACGAACTCCATGGCCTAACCCAAGCGAGCTTAACCCCAATTTGTGCTCAAGAACCCTTTCACACCTCAAAAATTAAAACAAAAACCAAAAAAGAATGGAATACAAAAAGGTGAGCCTAATTTATAGCTGCCAAAATCTTCAAAGACAGGCAGACAATCAAAGCAAAAAATAAATATAAATGAAACGAGCAACTGGAGCTGAAATCTAATTGGACCCTCAAAAACCTACAAAGCTTTTTTCTTGGCCAATTTGTGAATGCTTCGAAAGATTTAATGAACTTAAATGTTAAATGCTATATGCTAAATGTTTAATTATAACGCAGCGCCCAAAAACGGCAATAGAAAAAAGTTAAGCACACACAAACGCAAACGACTTGAAAAAAAAGCTTACGATTATTATAATTATTTTGAAAATATTTTGAAAAATGTCTAGCAATTAGAAGAGACTTTTGTGTTGTTGTTTTATTTTATTTTTTATTTTTTTTTTTTTGTGTTATTTTTATTGTCTTTTGTTTTAAGTCTTTGTCGTATCGCTGTGGGTCCATGTAATCAGTTGAATCTAAGCAAGAGATGCCCACATCTTGCCAAGATATTAAGCTCATTAAAAACTTTGCTGGTGTGTGTAGCAGCTTGGGCCTGGGCTTAAATGTACACTGCGCGTACGTAAATCAATTTTAAAGGAATGAATTTCGTACTTGGAATTTCAATGAACTTACTTTATCCATAAACCTGACCAGTTATGCAAAAGACCAGCCGACGCGAAGCATATTTATTTAAAAAATGTGAAAACCTTTGAAATAAAATCAATTATGACTGTTTCCCCAAAGTTTCGACAAGAGATCGCATTTGAAATGAATTATTATATCTTCTTTAATCTGGAATTTGCTACTATTAAACATTTCTTTCTTTATAGTGTATTTCCTACAATTAGTTTTTTCTTACTTAATCAGTAATTTAATTATCAATGAAAAAGTTCCATTTCTACAAAATTGACCAGGGACAGAGAAACTACCTGAAAATGTATAAAATTAACCCACAGTAGCTTTGTCACAGACTATCGATATATCGCGATATATCGATAACTTGGTCGATATATATCGATACGTCGTATATCGATAACTGTGCAGCTGTAGTTACTTATTTTTATTTATTTATTTATTTTATTTTGATTTTTAATTTGACTTGACTTTTCTCTTATTAATTTGCATCTTGTTGATTCAAAATTTTGCTCAGTGTAGCCGCTCATCGGCAACTTGATGGGAGTTTCATTAAGGCTTAAGCTGAAAAATATTTCTCGTTTGTGGCTGCGGCTCTGGGCCCAGACTGAAGGTCTTACTACCTGTTGTTGTTAGCTCTTGCCGCTCTTGGCTCTTGGCTGCCAACCTTACTCAAAAAGCAGCTGAGCTCTAGCTGAAGCTGAGGCACAGGCACAACGAGTTGTTGTAGTTGTTTTTGTTGCTGCTGCTGTTGTTGTTGTTGTTGTTGGTGGCTGCGCATGCGCACACGGTCTGTGGCTCTTTTCAGGTATTTTGTATCTCTTAGGTTGCATTTCATTGTTATGACATCTACAGGTAACAAATTTTCTGTATCTTTGTCCGTCTGTCTGCGCCACCATAAAAACAAGTAAAAATAAGGTATGTTGCAGTCGGGTGTAACCGACTGCTAAATACTTGTTTACGGTTTAAATATAGATTTTTTCGATTCGTTGTGGAGAACGTATAGACCTTAATCTAAAGTTCGACATTCTAGCGCTAAGAAAGACATTGATCTCTTGAGAAGATATAGATTTTTGCAATTGGGGGACCAAGTTTTTGAATCAATATTACAAGGAGGTGTCCATTTTGACTAAAATTGGAGGAATATAAAGTTTTATGAGGGCTAACGAAATATTTTCGCACGACATATCTCCGCTGTTCTATAAACGAAAGTATTATAACTATGCTATGTTGCTATTAAACGACGGAAGTATGTCGCTATGTTTTACATATATCTTCAAAATTTCAAAAGCCCAGCATCACGAGCAGTAGAAAACCAATATACCCTTCACACTTTGTGAACGGGTATATATGAAACAGGTTTTCTTCCTGCGCCTGTGCGTTCCATGCGCATGTTAAATGATTAAATATCATATTTTTGTTATCAGACAAAAGGCTGCGTTTTCAGCATCAGCAACAGCCACAGCATCCCCCCTATCTCGCTCGTTGCCCCTCTCCCTCTTTCTCTCCCTCTCTCGGCGAATGCATCTGCATCTGCTCCAGCTGCTTGCCTTCATATCTCAGATTGTTGTAGTTGTTGTTGTTGATCGTGCGCCTTGTCTTACAAGCAATTAAAATTATTATCGCCGCGCACATGGCTCAGCATTAGTCCAGCTGATTCCGATTAGCGAGCTACTTGGTTTGCTGCAACATAATTAAAGACAATCCCTAATCGAAAGTTAAAATCTCTTAATTGTGTTTTCTCTTTCTCTTTCATTTTTCATTTCCAGCGATTTGCAGGGCAACAATTTGACCGTGATATATGAGACGGACTTTCAGCGCTTGACCAAGCTGCGAATGCTGTAAGTAGAAGTTGTTTGCTTTTGGTTTTTATTTAATTACATAGCTGGCAATAATTTATACATATTTATGAATAATTAATTGTAATTTCGAGCTTTTAGCCATGTTTATTAGTTTACTATAAGACTACAAGTATAATTCTTAATTATAAAATAGTATCACAACAAATTATGGGAAAGCTTAGATATATGATTTAAAAAACCGCTTTAATTCAGGGCCAGAAGAGACGTATTCCAAATTGCGTTACAATTACAGCTGTTTCTTAACTTTTGCCAAAAATGTATCATTTCGCAATGCAAAATATTGCATGCAAATTGACACCAAATGTCACGATAACGTTAAGCATAAATTTGAACAGTAAATTGAAATTGAAAGTTTGTGCAAAACAGGTCTCACAACATGTGTATCTACTGTACGCGGATAGGCAACAATTTATTCGTATTTTGCAATACGCAATATGCGCTAGTTACAAGACATCAACAACAAATTCTAAGTTAACTCGAGAATGATACGAATCTGATAAAAGAATGTGATATAAATGGATAAGTTAACAAGTATTCAGCGAAAAACTTCACATATTTAGAGCTAATAAACATAGTTCACGCGGGTTACGAAAGCTTACATTATATATCTGGGTCTTGGAATTGTAGTCAAGTACCTTATTAAGATAAAGGTTCTAGGTTGAAAGTGGTGATGTGGTTCCCTACACTGCGGCATCAGAATAAGTCATTTTTGATCTAAGTCAAGAAATTTTCAAATGCATCTAACCTTTCCTTCCCTAACCTAACCAGAGGTAACCTAAGCTATCCGAACCTCACTTAATCAAATCTAAGCTCATTTAACCTAATCTAACCTAACCTCATTTAACCATAGGTAACCTAAGCTCACCTAACCTAACGTAACCTAGCCTAACCTAACCTAACCTCATTCAACCTAGCCTAGTCTAACCTAACCTCACTTAACACAGTCTCACCTAATCTAGCCTAACCTTAAGTTCTGAAATATTTATGTTATAGATCTTTACGTATATATTCCTATATCTTATTCACGCTAGTGACGAAAGCTTAGTTTTAAAATCGAAAACCCGAATCTTAAAATCTTGTAAACTTTTAAAACAACAACTTAAACTAACTGTTCTTAATATGTTATCATTATTTATATTTCCACAAATCATATTCTAATACTTATATGTATTGTTATTTATCTTTATTCTACAGTCAATTGACGGACAATCAAATACATACCGTTGAGAAGAATGCACTGCAAGATTTGGTTTCGCTGGAGCGACTGTAAGTAGAGATCTGTGCATATTTCACATGTTGGGATAGTAAACCAATCGAAAGAGTTGCTAATTTGATGCTAGTGCATGAGATTTTTCAAACTAATTCACTTTTTAACTAACCAAATTTGCTGCTCTTTATTGACCTAGATACACATAGCTTGTAGCTATACAAAAAAAAAATGAAAATCATAATAATAATATATATACTTATATGAAATACTATCGTGCAAAATTCGATTTAGTTGTTGCGATACTTTGAGTTTTGAGTTTAACTTGTTTGTATCTTTTTTCTTGTTTCGTTTTATGCATATCTCTCTACTTTCGTTGCGTTTCGTTTTGCGTATCTAATATGCTCGTACACCAAAACAAAAAAATACCAAAATAAAAATACCAAAACAAATTACCAAACACTTCACTCTATAAATCAGACGCCTAAACAACAATCGACTTAAGGCAATACCTGAAAACTTTGTGACAAGTTCAGCGAGTCTTTTGCGATTGTAAGTAATCAACGTAGTCATGTAGCGACTTTTTATATATAAAATCTACTTACCTACATATAGTATGTAGCAGTATGTAGCCCCAATAGATAACAAACACTTACTGACTCTCAAATACTTCCTCTTCCTGCCTGCCTGCCTGCCTGTCCGCTGACTCCACCTGTCTGCTTGCCTGCCTGCCGCCTGCCGCCTGCCTGGAACCTCACCTCAACTTGCAGGGACATCTCGCACAATGTCATCACAACGGTCGGCCGGAGGGTCTTTAAGGGCGCCCAGTCGCTGCGGAGCCTACAGCTGGACAACAATCAAATCACATGTATGGATGAGCATGCCTTTAAGGGATTGCTGGAGCTGGAAATACTGTAAGTGTTGGACAATGCAGTTAGGGATGGACAAACATGGGTGCGCTCTGATCATTAAAGAGTTCAAATCAATATCAGTGTTGACTCATGCTAGTTAAATCACAACTAACAACTGGAAATGACAAGAAGTGTAAATTAGTGTTGTTTAATTAAAGTAGACAAGAGTCCATAAGTGCTGTAAAATGGCAAACAACTCATTTAGTGTTGAATGAAAATTTGTTCCAAGCGTAAAGTTTCCAAGCAGCCTTAAGAATGATGCTCGTATGTTTTTGCCCATCCCTAAGTTCAGCTTGGCAAAGAGCCAAAGATGCATTCACTTGATAATGCAATAATGCAACTTATTTTCCACAACCTAACTCTTAACCAATCTCCCTCTCTCTCTCCCCCTCCCGACCGCTTCCCTGCTTCTCCTTCTATTTTCCTTTCGCACAGCACACTCAATAACAATAACTTGACCGCTCTGCCGCACAATGCCTTTGGGGGATTGGGAAAATTGCGAGCGCTGCGCCTCTCGGATAACCCGTTCGCCTGCGACTGCCATTTGTCCTGGCTGTCGCGCTACCTACGCAGCGCGCCGCGCCTCGCTCCCTACACACGCTGCCAGTCGCCGTCGCAGCTGAAGGGCCAAAACGTGGCGGACCTGCACGATCAGGAGTTCAAATGCTCAGGTATGGTACCACATGACAGTTTCCACACAGATCGTACGCTACGGGCGGCACAGCCACCCCAAAAATGGACAAATGTCGTGGGGCCTCGTAAGCCGTATGCCAAATTAATTAGTTTTATATGCCAGTCGAGCGAGCGGACGGGCGGGCTCACACAAAACAAAGCATTGTAAATCATAAGCAGTCATATGAGGGCACGCCCCCGCTGTGACGCCCACTCCAACAACAATAACAACAACAGGCAGCAAAGTGAACAAGCGGATATTAAGGAAGGGAAGTGGGGGGCATCATCATCATCATCGTGTGTTTGCCAAAAACGTTTAACGCCGTCATCGCTTGCTTGATTGGGATGCAGATGCTCTGAACGATGCTGCGGGCACCGAATCAGCATTTGGAAAGCCGCCTCCCCAATGGATCCGACTACAAGCTCAAAACTCCAAACTCTGGCGTTCAATGAAGCGGAAAATGTGCGCCAAACGATGCCATGAAACAAGTTTCTTCCATCCATTGTACTTGTTATGCTCTACGGCATAAAGAGTTGCTCTGTTCAGTCAGTCGGTTGGGTATTTAAGCTGGCCATAAGGAATGTTTAATGAGGCGTTTATTTGATTTGATTCGATTTGATTTGATTTAGGTTTATGTTTATTGCCTGCCCTTTGACACATTTCATTATTATTGATTGAATTTAGTTGGGACTTGAGCTTAATGGCTGCACATTTACTGTTATAGCTTGGGCATAGTTAAAAGAAGATTAAGTTCGCAGTGGAGAAAGATTCTAAAAACGAATGATAATAGTTCAGGCCAGTCGAAAAGTTAAGAGAGAAAAAGAAAAAAAATCAGTACGCTTCCAATATACCGGAATATATCAGAAGACGCCTGTAAATAAATACTCTTAAGATCTGTGTCTCTTAGATGCCAAAAAGTTGACATAGAGTATATGAAATTCGTTAGGTTAGTTCAACTTGAGTTTTCTTAGCTTGTTGTTGACTTTCGTTTTGTATACAAAATGCTATGGAATTATGTGGGTAAACATTTATGACCAGCGGCAGCTGTGGCTCCAGTTGTAGCTGTGCCAACCGCCGCATCTTGGCGCGCTGCAGTAGCATTCATAATTACGTGGTTTGCCGCTGCCGCTGCTGCTGCTGCTGCTGCTGCTGTGGATCAAATCAAAGCCAAGAGTGGCTCTGACTGGCTCTTGTGCTGAATGAATCGCTGTGCACAGGCAGCTAAATATGTTCAGTTTGCTTTACACTTGCCACTTGCCGCTTGCCACTTGCAGGTCTTACCGAGCATGCGCCAATGGAATGCGGCGTGGAGAACAGCTGCCCCCACCCGTGTCGCTGTGCCGATGGCATTGTCGATTGCCGTGAGAAGAGTTTGACGAGTGTGCCCGTTACGCTGCCGGATGATACAACCGAACTGTAAGTTTAAGCACATGGCTAAAAAAAAAAAATGAAAATCTAGCCGCATGTTAATTCTTGTCTTTTCGTTTTTGCAGCCGCCTGGAGCAGAATTTCATCACTGAACTGCCAGCGAAATCCTTCTCCAGCTTTCGTCGACTGCGACGCATCGATCTGTCCAACAACAATATCTCGCGCATAGCACACGATGCGCTAAGTGGCCTAAAGCAGCTAACCACGCTGTAAGTAGACGGCACATTAGCAACAAGTAGCTGTTGCCAACAAAATGTGCAGTCGCTTCGCTAAGTGTGCGTGTGTGTGTACCTTTGAAGTGGTGTCAGTCCGTCAAACACTCCTGACAGCCACTGGTGGGCCTAAGGGTCTGAGCCCAGGATTGAGGGGCTAATCGGCCTATGCTAAGCGTTGGCAACACCGCAAGTCATCAGATTACCTGTGTTGGCCACAATGTGCCCCCACGTGTCTCTCTCTCTCTCTCAGTGTGTGTGTGTGTGTGTGTGTGTGTGTGTGTGTGTGTGTGTGTGTGTGTGTGTGTGTGTGTGCCAAACCAGTTGCCGCCCGCAATGACAACAACACGAATCCACCGCAACAACAACAACAAAAAACAACCGGGACAACAGGCAGGCAGCACATGCTCTGCCCGCCTGAATTTTTTTTATTTGTGCTCTATTCATTATGCCATTGTGTAGGGTATTTTCATTTCGTCAGAGAATATGTAATGAATAGAATTGGGTAAATTAAATTCTTGATACGGTCGAGTCGTTATAGCCATGCCCGTCTGTCTGTGTGAAACTACAAGAAACTTCATGTTTTAAATATATATTGTTTTCTTTTTTTCGATATCTCCTTGCTTTTTCATAATATCGATCATTTTATATCCATCCTTTTTCATAGTATTGATAAGCATCGATGTTGATAAACGATTTCTTTTTAACATAACTTGAAGATTATTCAAGCTAGATAAACTCAACATTTTGGAGACCTCCTTCCAATCATCTTAACATTGCGAAAATACGCACATTTGGGTGTCACACTTATACATTAAAGGTTTCTTTGAGATCGGACAATAAGCTCCGATTCTATACAAACAATTGACTGCGCAGTGAGCGGCGTGTTTGCGTGTGTATGTGTGTGTCTGTTTGTGTGCTTAAAAGAAAGCTGGAAGTGTTGTAAAGTTAACTAGGGTATCTCGTAGTCGAGCACGCCCGCCTAGACCATGCTTTACCTCTTTTCTTGATTGTTTTCTTTTTGTGCTCTGATTTTTTTTACTTTTATTTTTGTCGCTTTCAGTGTGTTGTATGGCAATAAAATAAAGGATTTGCCCTCGGGCGTATTCAAAGGACTTGGCTCGCTGCAGCTGCTGCTGCTGAATGCCAACGAGATCTCCTGCATACGCAAGGATGCCTTCCGCGACCTGCATAGCCTCAGTTTGCTCTCGCTCTACGACAACAACATACAGTCGCTGGCTAATGGCACATTCGACGCCATGAAGAGCATCAAAACGGTGTAAGTACCACGCCCCCGAACACCCAAATGCCCACGCCCTTTGCGCACTAAGCCCTCCACCTACCCCCACCCACTGCCCCCTTCCCAACCACCCGCCCAGCCATTGAGACGCTGGCTTTGGCATGGCTTGCCGAGTGCATGTTGCAAGTGGGGAGACGCCCCTAAGAACAGCCTTTGCATGGAGGAGCACGGAGCACCCAGGCACTTTGGTGTTAAACCTCTGAAGTGCATTTAGCAGTTGCTTTTGACTTGGCAGCAACAGCGGCGCGCGTTGACATTTGTTTAACAGCCAAACAACATCGGCAAACGCCTTTTCTATGGCCCATCCAGTAATATCGGCTGTGAACCGTAAAGATGTGCCACGAACAAAAGATGGTACGCTTTCTGTAGGCCAAACGGTGAAGAGGGGTTCCTGTGGGTGGCTAGGAGAGGGGCAGGTTTGAGCATCGATAAATGCGCTGACTTTAAGTGCTCTGTGCGGTTCTTAAGATGGTATACGACACGCTTGAGTGGGTTAAGTATTTGTCAGGGTTGTCAACTTGAAAGCAAAAAAAAAAAAGAGAAAAACTAAAGAAACAAAGCCTTACAGTAGCTTCTTTTAAAAACAAGTTTTAAGTAGTTCTGGTTTTCTTTTCCCCTAGAGAAGTCTGTCAAAGTTTTTAATATTTGGGAATATTTATGAAAAAGAAGGAAACATGACATTGCAGAAATAAAAAAACAATACTGAAAGGGACTTACTTGAAACAACTGCAACCCACCACCCAATGATGTTATTAAATGTGTCTTTTTAAATATTTTATTTATATCATATTGTATTAAACATATTTTGAAACTTTGCTAGAAAAATGTGTATAGTTGAGCTTTAGCTGAAGGAAAACGTAGAGTTCTGATTCATTCTAAGATGGGAGTTATAAGATCTTGGCTGATAAGCATACAAACCAAGTTTAATGTAGATTTAAAATAATATATATTAAAAGAAAATTTAGAGAAAGATAAAAGCTTAGAATTTAGGGATTATGCTTTAAGTTGTAAAAAAAAAGATTAATTCAAGATATTGCGTTTTTAATAAGCGTATAAAAAATGTTTTTCTCTAAATACAAAAAGTTTTCTATATAGGCAATTTATTCTTGAAGAGAGAAAGGTCTTGAAAATTTAAAAAAAATTTCGCTGAAAGCAAATGAAAGTTTTAAAATAATTTCTTCATTAATCTATCGGAACTACGGTCCCATATTTATTTAAAAAACAAGCAGTTTTTTGACATTTGCAAAACAAATATTTTCCATATTTTTAGGATTGCAAATAGAACAAAATTTTCACATTAATCCATCTTAATCCGGCTCATACTTTTTATAAAGATTACCCGATTTCTGGATGCCAACAAGCTGTTTTTTTTTCCATTTTCTTAATAGTATTTCTTAAATAGAAAATTTAATTTCTGGCTATAAACCCTTTAAAAGGTCATCTTTATGAAAATAAAAATCGTTCCTTAATTAAAACAAACTGTTATATTTGTTGCAAATATATAACTTTTAGCGAATTTTAGTTGTTTAATTACAAGATGATTTAAGCTAACTTTAGTTGCCAGCTATTTTAACGGCGCTCTGTCAGAAGGCATTAACAGGGACAACTCTTGGGCTTGCGATTGCCTTTGAAAATAGTTTTCAAAACGTTGACGACAACAACTCCAACAACAACAACAACAACAACAAGAACAGGAAACAGCGGAAACGTTGCAGCCGCAGGGCTCGTGCACTTTTAAGACGTCTCAAGCCTCCATCCACAACAGTTTTGCCTTTCTTTGCACCCCAACCTGCCCCTTTCTTTCTTTCTCTCCCTCTTAAGCAATTCCCTACGCTCCATTCAGTACAAACGCTCAATGCTACTTTCTTGCTTTCTTTCCATTTACAACACTACAAAATATGCTTTTATACATACGTATCTTTATATATATATATATATGTATTTGTATAGACATTTGGCCAAGAATCCTTTCATTTGTGACTGCAATCTGCGCTGGCTGGCCGACTATTTGCACAAAAATCCCATAGAGACAAGTGGAGCACGCTGTGAGTCACCGAAGCGGATGCATCGCCGGCGCATTGAATCGTTGCGCGAGGAGAAATTCAAATGTAAGTGCGCCCGTCGGGCACAAGACAAGAAAAAGAATATGTCTTAACTTTGCTGGCCCGCCCACAACCCACACCACCCCACCCCACCCACCACACCCACTCACCCAAACCACTTGACAATTGTGTGCAGGTTCCTGGGATGAATTGCGCATGAAGCTATCCGGCGAGTGTCGCATGGACTCGGACTGCCCGGCCATGTGCCAGTGCGAGGGCACAACCGTTGATTGTGCGGGACGCGGTCTCAAGGAAATACCACGCGACATTCCATTGCATACCACAGAGCTGTAAGTTACCAAGTCAACTCATAGAATACTTAATACCATAAATTATAATAAGTGCTATCCTCGCTAAATGGTCGCCCCTTAAGTTAGTTCTTAACATTTTTGTGAACAAATTCAAATTTACTTGAACTTATGTTTCATAGTTAAGTGGACTTAAATGTGGAGCACAAATCAAATATAATAACGCAACATTTTTCAATTAAGAAATCCAGCAACACTCTGTAGATATTTCGGATATTAAGCTGGCGACTTTCTAGAAAAAGGTTCAACTTAAGTATTAAGAACTTACAAAATTGATAAAAAAGATAAAAACAAACGAATTCTTATAGATCAGCTTTTGTTTCAAAAAAAGAAGTGAATCCTGTACCTACTTATGCCAAAGGTTCGACTCTCCGGAATCTTATAATATATATATATTTAATATATATATATTTAACTTGTATTTGAACCTGCGACCCACCAAATAATCTCTTTGCGCAAGAAAATTATAAACAACAACTAAAATGTTTTTAAATTCTTAAACTAATACATTTTAACTAAAAAATTCTAAAATATTTAAAATTGGTAAACTAAAAAACCTATTACTTATTTTATCCGAAAAAGTTATTAAGTATTAATTAAAAATTTGTTTCTTGCTAGCCTACTTCTTGCTTTTAAATCTGCAATAAGCTGCTTATATATTTAACATGACCTTTAACCTGAGTGCATGTACATTTATCACAGTTTGCTCAACGACAACGAATTGGGTCGCATTAATTCGGATGGTCTCTTTGGTCGATTGCCGCATCTGGTCAAACTGGAGCTGAAGCGCAATCAGCTCACCGGCATTGAGCCGAATGCCTTTGAGGGCGCATCGCGTATACAGGATTTACAATTGGGCGAGAATAAGATTAAGGAAATCTCCAACAAAATGTTTCTCGGATTGCATCAGTTGAAAACACTGTAAGTGGATAGAATTACAAATGAAAACAAATACAGGAAAGAAACGCTATATTCGGCATGCCGAACATAAAATACCCTAAAAGACACGTGATTCATGATTTTGCAGATATGTGATCAGATTGTAATAGTTTAAAGAACGAATAAGTTTGTCAAAAACTGATCTTATTATCGATAAAGCATATGACAAAGTGATTTTGATATAAAAGAACTTCACATTAAAGCGATCATTCTTATGGCTACTATATGATATAATGGTCCGATCCGATCCGATATATCGACTTGGCTGTTGATACCGATCAGGAATATATATGGCACTTCCTTCAATGCGTTTATAGTCCGATCCGACTGATTTCGATATATATCCTCCTGCAAAAGAAAGTTGCATCTTTGTAAAATTGTATGACAGAAAACGGAGAGAAAAGTTTGCATACAAGCAGACAGAAGGGCAGGGCTATATCGACCTGGCTGTCGATACTGATCAGGAACATATATATATATATACCTTATGGCTCTTCCTTCTATGCGTTTCACCTGATATTGTAGTCCGATCCGACTTTTTTTATATTTTAAATATAATTTGTTTTCTCTTTCCATCCATTGCAGCAATCTGTATGACAATCAAATTTCTTGCGTAATGCCTGGATCATTCGAGCATCTCAACTCGCTGACGTCTTTGTAAGTATAACTCGCCCATCCCCGCACCCTTTGCCCCCTAATTGAGCAGAAATTCAAATTGCTCAGCCAGAAGTGAACTTTGTGGCATCTGATGCGTCTGCTGGCTATGCATAGCAATTAAAACTGTGCCAAGTGGCCAAGCGGTGCGGCATGCACTTCAATAGATAAATGATTTAGCTTTTGGCATTAATTGGCCGTACTCTGAAACCACCTTCGCAACGCATCGCCCCATCCTGTCCTGCCCTGGCCCGCCCTTAAATTCTCTATTACAGGGGGCAGAGGCACATAAAATGAGGTTAATGGTTTTGATTGTTCTCTGGCTGAACTTCATCTGATTGCCCGCGTCTTTCACATCAAAACAGAAGCTGCTGCGGCGGCTGTTGCTGCTGCTGCTGCTGCTGCTGCTGCTAATGTTGATGCTACTTGCTGCGGCTGTGGCTGCTGCTACTGCTGCTGCTGTTGCTTTAACAAATCAGTTTTTCTTCGTTGCATGCCACCAACTATTGTATATAATTCAATTGAACTTCAATTTATAGCAGGGCTGCCTACGATAAGAGCTACACACACGCACACACACACATATCATGGCGCTCTCCCGCTGTCTTCATGCAACCCAACTCTGTGTGTGTGTGCGGGTGTGTGTTGTGTGTGTGTTGCTCCACATTGTTGTGCACGCCTGCTGTAAATCAACCCTCACAAAACACACACACACACACATTTGTGAGTGTGCGCTGCCTTCGATGATTTAATTAATTAAAATTGAGTTCAATAAAGAGCGCAAAACCATATACAGTACAACCTCAATAAGTTGAAAAGTAGTAAAAAAAAAATAGTTCACAATAATCTGCCAAGCTTTTACACATTTGACTTCCAAATTGAGATAAATTGTAATTGCTTTTTATAAATTGATGGCAAATGGAGAATGCATTAAAATCATTTTTCAAATACATATTTCTTAAAAAAAATAATAAAGTTTTATTTTTAAATTTATTTAGTTTTTGTTTTCCCTTAAATTTGAAATTTGAAGCGTTGAATTTATATTTTGTTGACTTTTAATTGTATTTTTATTTTTAACTGGAAGTTGACATCTGGAAATTAATCGATTAATCCAATTAAACTTGTAATTAAACAAAAAATCTAGCTCAAATATTATTTTATGCATAATTTAATAGGTTTTTCATGATTTTTGAAGAAGAGAGAAGAAAAGAAATAATTGCTTGAATAGAAAACAACTCGCAAAACCAGCTCAAATTACCTTTTTAAGGAAAAAAGTTCAACTTAATTAGATTTGACTGTACACCCAAGTCGGGTGTGTTGGTTACGCGCTGGGCTGCAGGGAGGTGTTGTGGTTCGTTAGCAGCATCTAAAATTATTGTAAAATTCATTTAACTAGCTAATAAATAGCATCAATGAAAGTCATTAAGTGCTGTGCACCACACGACGCCCACATGCTCCATCCATTCAGGTGGCTGGGATGAGGCGGAGCAGGTGAAGGCGGAGGAGACCACTAGGTGCCAGGCTAAAAGTGTTAGTTAGTTGCCTGCGGCCTTTCGCACACCCGACTGCCAACGTCTGATAGCATGACAAAGCAGCATTGCTTATTAAATTAGTCTGGACTTGGACTTGTGTAACGTTCGGAATTGCCAATGTAATTTGTGAGCCATTGTTTCGTCCGCTTTCGGCCGGGCGCATAATTAAAGGCCTTATGGCACTTATGCTGCCCCCCTCACACACACGCACACACACATACAAGCTGCATGTGTGTAAGTGAAACATATGGCTCTGTCAAACAATTTGCATGCCAAAAGTGCAAAATTGGAAATAATTAATGAAACCATTCAAAGCTGCATGTGGCCAAGCTGTTATGAAATATCAGTGTGGCCATAATGCAATTACAGCTAGTGTCAATCAAATATTCAATTAAGTTAACCAGAACAGTATGCTACAATTATATGATAACAAAAGCTTTAACAGAATGTGCAGAAAGAAAGCTGTATAAATGAAATCAATAGAGCTTTCAGCTTAACGTGAGAAGAATTCGATTAATATAAATTGAATAGAACTGTATAAAATTAATCAATAGAGCTTTAAGCTGAACGTGAGTCTAGTTTGATTAATTCAAATCGTTGAGAGCTTAAGATGATTTGAAACTTAAAAACTTGTGGCATCGATCTCACTTGTATTATTATATATTTAAACATTTTATTAAGCTTTAAGCACTTATATGCTAGTATCAATCAAATAGTTTATTAAGTTAAGTAAAACAGTGTGCAACAATTACAAATTACAAAAGCTTTCACAAATACGCAAATGTGCAGGAAGAAAGCTGAATAATATCGATGACATACTTTTCTTTAAAAACTGACTAGTTGAATAAGCTTTAAGTTTAAAAGCACCTTAATTGCATTTACTCAAAACACATTTAGCCCAGATTAATTGCACTCACTCAATGCATTTAATCCCACTTAAAGCTTTCATGTGCTTTGAAAGCTCTAAGCTGGCTAATTCCCTCAGCTCAAATTAAGCTCAACAGCCCGACCAATTGAAAAATCACAGCGCATACTTGAAACTAATTGAAATAAAACGAGTGCATTTTATCTATCAATTTTGTAGGAATCTAGCATCGAATCCATTCAATTGTAATTGTCATTTGGCCTGGTTCGCCGAGTGGTTGCGTAAAAAATCGTTGAACGGCGGAGCAGCACGTTGTGCTGCCCCAGCGAAGGTACGTGATGTGCAAATCAAGGATCTGCCCCACAACGAATTCAAATGCAGCAGCGAGAACAACGAGGGCTGCCTCGGCGATGGCTATTGTCCGCCGGCCTGTACGTGCACCGGCACTGTGGTCCGCTGTTCACGCAATCAATTGAAGGAAATACCGCGCGGCATACCAGCCGAGACATCCGAATTGTATCTGGAGTCCAATGAGATCGAACAGATACATTATGAGCGCATCAGGCATTTGCGTGCACTCACCCGACTGTAAGTTTACCATACACTGCAAATGTTGCCAAGTTTCCATTTAAACACAAAATTGTTTTTCCATATTTCTGTTTTTCTTCATTTGCAGCGATCTCAGCAACAATCAAATCACCATACTGTCCAATTACACCTTTGCCAATCTGACCAAGCTATCCACGCTGTAAGTATGGGGCACATTTCTAATGACTTTTTAATTGCTCCAGACTTGGACTCGAGACTTGGACGCGTACTCGCAATCTCGTACTCGTACTCGTACTCGTACTAGGCATTAAGGCAACACGAAAATCGAAACGTTTCAACCTCAAGAGGGCTTGACACAATTTTTTCTTTTTTTTTTCTGCTTTCTGCTTTTTTGCGGCAATTGCATTTTGCGGTTTATTGTGGCTTTCTGGTGCGGTGGCTGCGGCTGTGGCCGCCACCCTTGGCCTGGGCTCGTCTCGAACCGGCCACGAAATTCATTCGAGACGTTAAGTCGTGACTCGTGCTTAAGCATTAGCTGTTGTCGTCCGCTCTGCCCTACCTATAGTCCGTCGAACTGCTGCCGCTACCTCTGCCGCCGCCGCCTGCCGCTTGGTGCCGCTTGTGTGCGCTATCCGCAATCAAAGCTGTGCCTTTTAATATACCCTGCACGCATTGAGTCCGCCAAAGGAGTATACTTATCCAGCTTAAAAAGAACTCTATATTATTTTAAATACGTATTAACATTGCTGCTGGCTTTGAAACAGCGACCTCTCACTTGCTAGTCCGACGCTCACAAATAAAGTTAGGCGCCATGTCAAAGGCTTAAAAGTTATGCAATAATATTTGGAAATTCGGCTGTTCTTTAACTGGTCGAATTCGAGTCCAATTGAAGCCCTTACAGGGTATCGAAAGAGTCGAGCAATTGTTAGTTTCGCACGCTCAGCGCATTTCTTTTCAATTTGCTGGTGGCTGGTTAAAAACGTTTTGCAATTACTTTCATTTCTTCATCATGGATGTGCCGCATGTGTCTGCAATTTGGTAAACGTTTCATTTTCCCCATCTTCTTTTTCCACTGATTTTCATTCGTTTTGGCCACATTTCGTTTCCGCTGTTGCAGCATCATTTCGTACAACCGGCTGCAGTGCCTGCAACGACATGCGTTGTCTGGTCTAAATAATCTGCGCGTGCTCTCTCTGCACGGCAATCGGATATCCATGCTGCCGGAGGGCTCCTTCGAGGATCTCAAGTCGCTGACACACATGTGAGTAGGAAATTGGAAATTGTTATTTTCTTTTGTGCCTCGTAACCTTTGCTGACCCCGTCACCCAATTTTCCGTCCTTCTCGTGCAGTGCCTTGGGCAGCAATCCCTTGTATTGCGATTGCTCACTGAAATGGTTCTCGGACTGGATCAAGCTGGACTATGTGGAGCCGGGCATAGCACGCTGCGCGGAGCCGGAGCACATGAAGGATAAGCTGATATTGTCGACGCCCTCGTCGAATTTCGCGTGCCGCGGCAAGGTGCGCAACGAGATCCTGGCCAAGTGCAATGCCTGCTACGAGCAGCCGTGCCAGAACAAGGCCCAGTGCCTGGCCCTGCCACAGCGTGACTATCAATGCCTCTGCCAGCCGGGCTACCATGGCAAGCATTGCGAGTACATGATCGATGCCTGCTACGGCAATCCCTGCCGGAATAATGCCACCTGCACGGTGCTGGAGGAGGGTCGCTTTAGCTGCCAGTGTGCGCCGGGCTACACGGGCGCCCGCTGCGAGACGAACATCGATGACTGCCTGGGCGAGAATATACGCTGCCAGAACAATGCCACCTGCATTGATGGCGTCCAGTCGTATCGCTGCGAATGCCAGCCCGGCTTTACGGGCGAATGGTGCGACACGAAAATACAGTTCTGCAGTCTCGACTATAATCCCTGTGCGAATGGCGCCAAGTGCTTGGATCACTTCACCCACTACAGCTGCGAGTGCATGGCGGGCTTTCACGGCATCAACTGCACGGATAACATCGATGACTGCCAGAATCATATGTGCCAGAATGGCGGCACCTGCATCGACGGCATCAATGATTATGTTTGCAAGTGCCCCGACGATTTTACGGGCAAATACTGTGAGGGTCACAACATGATCTCCATGATGTATCCGCAGACTTCGCCCTGCCAGAATCACGAGTGCAAGCACGGCGTCTGCTTCCAGCCAAATGCCGCTGGCTCCGACTATCTGTGCAAGTGCCATCCCGGCTATACGGGCAAATGGTGCGAGTATTTGACCAGCATCAGTTTTGTCCACAACAATTCGTTTGTCGAACTGGAGCCGTTGCGCACGAGGCCTGAGGCGAATGTCACCATTGTGTTCAGCAGCGCCGAGCAGAATGGCATACTCATGTACGATGGACAGGACGCCCATCTGGCCGTCGAGCTGTTCAATGGACGCATACGCGTTAGCTATGATGTCGGCAACTATCCGGTGTCCACGATGTACAGCTTTGAGATGGTTGCCGATGGCAAATATCATGCGGTTGAGCTGTTGGCCATCAAGAAGAATTTTACGCTGCGCGTTGATCGCGGCCTGGCACGCTCCATCATCAATGAGGGCTCCAATGATTATTTGAAGCTGACCACGCCCATGTTTTTGGGCGGTCTGCCCGTGGAGCCGGCCCAGCAGGCTTATAAGAACTGGCAGATACGCAACTTGACCAGCTTTAAGGGCTGCATGAAGGAGGTATGGATCAATCACAAGCTAGTCGACTTTGGCAATGCCCAGCGCCAGCAGAAAATCACGCCAGGCTGTGCCCTGCTCGAGGGTGAGCCCAATGAGGGTGACGAGGATGATGAGCAGGACTTCATGGACGAGACGCCGCACATCAAGGAGGTAAGTCTTAGCATAGTTGTCTCACCACTGACTAGACCCTTGACTAAGCTGCATTTTTAATCTTGCCAGGAGCCCGTGGATCCCTGCGCGGAGCACAAGTGCCGGCGCGGCAGTCGCTGCGTGCCCAATGCCAATTCCAGGGATGGCTATCAGTGCAAATGCAAGCACGGCCAGCGTGGACGCTACTGCGATCAAGGTGAGGGCATCACAGAGCCCCCAACAATCACGGGTACATATTGCGATCTCTCACTCTAAACATTCAATCAAACATCAAGTCAAGCGGATTCATAGTGTTCCCTAGCTGCAGTTGTCCTTAAGATTCAGCAAATGCATTCCTATTCCAACACATCCTATTCATAGCTATTCTTTCAAGTCAGGGCCTTATCTAGGATATCTATCTCTTATAAGGAAGTTGAAACTAGTTTAAAGGTAACTTAATTGAAGCTGTGTCTCAGGACCTTTTTCCATATACAAAGAATCTGATTTCTCTGATTTCTTAAATTATTTGGGAATGATAAAGTTTACTTCTATTTATTATCAAGAGTTAGCTTTATGTTATAATTGTCCATTATTCTATTAAAACTTCTTATCTATATTCTTATTCTATTAGCAGCAAACGTGGTCAGTAATAAACGTATTTTTAGTTGATTTTATTTCCAAGATAGGGTCAACTATTTAAAGTCGTCCATCTCTCACTCTCAATTTTTGTCTAAGATTTAGCTAAAATTCAACTGAAGTATCAAACTAGTCCAGAAGGAGACTTCATCATGTTCTTACTTAAAACTGCTTAGCAATGAAAAGCCTTTAACCAACTGATATCCTAAAACTAGTTTAAATTGAACTAAATCATCAGCAATACTTATTTGTAGCTGCTCTGAAGTGGCAACAAAAGATTCCCTTATTATAAGCCAACTACTTCAACAATTGCTGGCTTAAACAATTTGGGAATTACAAATGAATTGCAGCTATGTGCCTGTCAAAACGGCACAGTGTTCGAAGAGCTTTAGATTGAACTAATTGATTTTAAGTAGAGTAGAAGCTGCTAGTAAATTGAGTGAAAAGCATAAACGTTGCGTGTATATTAGAAAGTTGCCTGAAAGTTTTGCCTAGTTGGTAATTAAGGAGGCGGCTTAAACAATATACATACCACGCCTAGCCTGTGTTCCACTCGAGCAACTTTCTGGCAACTTGCCCCAACTTAGATATCCCTCGAATCGCTACGCATCCGCTTGGCTATGCTGCATAATGTCATTTGCTTTCTCACACACACATAAACACATAACGTCTACATCAAACACACATCATATATTTCACGCCCATTTCATCTCACACATTTAGAAAAGGGGGCAGCTGTGCCTGGTATGCGTGTGTGAGTGTGCGTGTGTGTGTGTGTGTAATCTCATTAGCCGGCCGCCGTTGCCGCCGTCTTGTCAAAGGTGGTTCACTAATTGCATTTCCACGTTCGGTTCCATCATTTTTATTGCAGCCGCAGCAACGTGTCGCAAGGAGCAGGTGCGTGAGTATTACACGGAGAACGACTGCCGCTCCAGGCAGCCGCTGAAGTACGCCAAATGCGTCGGCGGCTGCGGCAATCAATGCTGTGCGGCCAAAATCGTGCGGAGGCGCAAGGTAAGTGCCAAATATGATTCCATTAGCATCTGTTTTAGAAGTAACATATGTACCTAAGGCATGCCTGAAAGAGACAGTGTTTATTAATTGCCTAAGAGCTCAACAAAAAACTCCAAATCATCTTAAAGATCTTAATTTAATATTCTTTAACGTTTGTTTTCACAACCAACATTTATCCATTACTTTATCTACCGTTTAAATATTTAACACGAACATAGCATCGCCAGATTGCCAGCTGTTCACCAATTGCTGTCAATTTAAAGAACGTGGCGTTGCCACCCGTCTGCACAATTTGAATAGTCAATTGATTGAATAAAAAGAAGATGTCCAATTTTTAGTTAATTAGCAGATACTTCAGATTTCGGGACGAAAAAGTGTCAGTTATTTATATAAATTATTATAAAAAGGTCGCCAGACAGTAACAACATATATTATATATTAACGCACGAATTTAAGTTTAGCTAATTAACGGGAACTTTGACAGGATAAATATATGAAAAATATGTTTATCAATTTTTATATAACTTTTTAGAATAAGTTAGCCAGACAATAGCAAGATATATTATTTAAATATTGTTTAGAGATTGACGCCCGATCTTAAGTTTAAGTAGTTGAATAGAACTTCGAAAGTATCTTGAGATAATGGAGCTTGAGCTGTAAATAAACTATAAATGTATTTTGATCAGCTTTTAATATAACTTATTATCGTATTATTACATGAATTCTGAAAAGTAATTAACAGGAACCTTGACAGAAACTTGACATTGACACAAAGTCGTCTTGTCTTTCCCTCTTTTAAACTCTCACTCTCTCCCTCTCTCTCTCTTCGACAGGTGCGCATGGTGTGCAGCAATAATCGCAAATATATAAAGAATTTGGATATTGTGCGCAAATGTGGATGCACCAAGAAATGCTACTGACTGAAAGATGCGACTACCCGATTGCTTACAGAAAGCAATGGCAGCTTAGATGTTAGTTTAGGAACACAATTAAACTTAACGTATAATACAAATAATAACTATAATAATAATAATAATAATAATAATAATAATAATAATAATAATAATAATAATAATAATAATAATAATAATAATAATAATAATAATAATAGTAATAGTAGCAGTAGCAGTAGCAGTAGCAGTAGTATTAACTTTAGTCATAAGCCGCATAGCAGTAGATTAAATAGCACGGGGCAGCAGCTGCTGGGCGTGGCTGCTGTCGACAAGGGGCAGCAGGCAGAGGTTGCGTTGGGCGAGAAGGATGATGAGGATGATGACTATGCCATGGAGGACATAGAATCCGATACCGAACGCATGCAAGCGGATCTCTATGACGATGACGATGATGAAGATGATGATGATGACGATGGTTTGGACGAGGAGACGAGCTTATTTGCAGATGATGACGAGGACGATGACGAGGAACCCGAACAGCTGCCCGATCCCAAGAGTCTGATCTCTGCAGCGGCACAACAACAACAGCAACAACAGCCGCCGAATGAAGAGGAGGAGGACATGGGCTATGATGAGGACGATGAGCGTTTGGCACTGGAACGGCCGCGTACAACGCGTCCGCGCGCCGATGAGGAGCATTTTGTGAATGAGGAGGGCAGCGGCGCCGGCGCCGGCTCCGGCACTGGCGGCTACAAGGCGCGCTTCCGGCCCAACAACAGCTACAGGCAATTGCATCTGGAACACATACGCAAAAAGCTGCTCACGGAGAGCCAGCAGCAGCAGCAGCAGCAGCAAGAGAATGAGCCCTCGGTTGTCGCCGCCGTGGCCGTGCCGAGCACTGCGATTGATCTGCGCGAGAGCAGCGGCCATTTTGCTAACGATGATGAGGATGGCGAGGATAACGATGACGGTGTCGATGATGAATACGGTGACAATGCCGATGGCGCTGGCTTCTTTGGTTCGCAGCGCTCGAAAAGCGCTTCCGGTGTGAATCACTATTTCCGAAAGAATAGCAATGATGCCATCAAGATTATATCCACGCCGCTGGGCAAAGTGGGCATCGTCTATCAGCAGACGCCCACCGATGCCGATGGCAATGATCCGCAGCACCAGCTGCATCAGAAGCAGCAGCTGGAACAGCAGGCACAGCAACAGAAGCCAGCGACACAGTTCACAGACTTCGATGCCTTGTCACCGGATCCGGAGAGCAGTCATCGTTTTCCATCGCCACATCCAAAAATAACGCCCGTACTAACACCCGATGGCAAGGTGGCGCTGCTTTATCGCGGTGATTCGGAGAGCTCCAAGTACGAGCCCATACGCAATCTGACGCACAAGTTCACCGGCTCCAAATCGCCAGAGCTGGCCAAGACGAACAACGAGGACAGCTCGGACGATTCTTCCGACGATTCCGTTTACACGGACAGCGAGGACGAGAGCGCAGGCGATAAGCCCGCCCCGGCTTCGGGCGCTGCCGCTGTGACGCCCAAGCCGCTGCAGCCGGAGATACTGGAGCCGCCCGCTCATGCACCAAACGGTGGCAGCTTTATAATACGACCCACCTCTGATTCTCTGCTGCCCATGATCAATCGGCCATTGTCCGAGGTGCTGGGCATCAAGAAGAATCAGTTCCAGGAGACGCGCGTGCGCGATCAGCTGGCCACTCTGGGCGCCACAGAGGCAACGCCTCGCTCGCTGCTCGCACAGCCAAACCAACAGACCGAACAGAAGCCGAGCGGCAGCCTGCACTTCCTCACCAAGGTCAATCTGGCCGAGTATCCCACAACCAAGCAGCACCAGCAGCAGCAGCAGTCGCCGCAGCTGCCCAATGGACGCGATTTTGACTTTAGTCGCGACAACACAATGCTGGATGAGAGATCGCGTGTGCGTGAGCTGGAGCAGCAGCGGGAGCGGGAGCGCGAGCACAATGAGGCCACCAGCAAGGGCGGCACTGAGGCGCACACGATTGCCAACGAGCAGCTGCTGTCCAAAACGGAGGTCATCAATTTGGCAATAATACCGCAGTTTGATGAGGACATGGAGAGCTTGCAGCGCCTGCACGAAAGCAGCGGCTTGGGCAGCGGTCGTCGGCATCATCGCATGCGGCATCGCCACAAGCAAACCGAGGAGGAGCTGTCCGGCATACATTGCGTCATGCAGGTCATGATGGCCATTGCGGCCGTATCCACTGTCTTTGGCATGCTGGGCACCTTCTTCAAGCAGCGCATTTTGGATCAGCTGCGCACGATGCACTGGTAGTACAACAATGGGTATTCGAGCCATTTCGAATACCTTCCCGAACCCAAACCCAAACCCAATCCAAATCTCCCAGTCACACGGTTGACTCGTCTGCAACATCATCATCATCATCACCATTATGCCGTCACAGTCATTATGGAGCTACTACAGACTCTTACTACTACTACTACTAGCACAGGAGGCAACAATTTTCCCCCTTTACTACTACTACTACTGCTCACTATATGGCCTCCACACATACATACATATATATATATATATATATATACTCATATAGCATATTCCATATTTATATATACACACATATATATACTCACTCTCTCTATTCGGTAGAGCTGGAAAATTGTCGTCCGTTTTTAAAGAATGTTTCCAAATTTCGTTTCAATTGATTCGCAATTCTTTTACATTATTTTATGTAAACTTAACAGCTGCTGTTATTTGCATATTAACAGTTTAGTTAGATTCTACAGACTTCTGTTAGCGGAACAACAACAGTTATGTTAAATATCACAAATTCTTTCAGTTCTCAATTTTGCACTAGATTTTAGAAATTCATGACAAAAAAAATCAATTCAAGTTTTTCAGCTCTGCTCTCTATATACACACACACATATATATATATATAAATCAACGCATATATCGACAAACTTATACCCTATTTTATGTAACAAGGAGCGGTCCTGCTTTTGCTTTTTCCTAACTTTCTCGTATACTTCCGCTTCTTTATATATATAATATATATATACTATATTTATATACTTACTAGCAAGCTACCCAGGCGATGTACATATAACAGAGCACACTATAACTGAACTATACGACTATATGTATATGAACGCAACTGTAGCCCCTGCCGAGAACTAAACAAAAAAACTAAAAAATTTTCCACCTTTTTCCCGCTTTGCCAACTCGTTTTCAAATTTTCCAATCTTATTTTTCCATTCTATATCAATTTCACAAACATTCATACACACCCTAACACACACACACGTTTGAGTGTATAAGCTTTAAGCAAGTCATTGCATGTGCCACGCCCACACAAACAATGCCCCGCCCCACGCCCAACAGAAAGTAAAAGAATGAAGAACAATTATGTAGAATATGATATATATGAAGAACATTCCCCCCGTCTGCGCCCCGTGAAAGTGAATTGAATTGTAGTAACAGTTTCCTTTTGTAGATAGAATACAGTTGTTTAAAGATTTAAAAAAACGATAACGATAAAGATAAACGATAACTCGATAACACGATAAAACAGCTGCACACCACAACTTGTAACGGTCGTTTTAAACGCCGAGCTACACTCAAAGAAACGAGTAAAAACGATAATAATAATAAGCGTGCTAACGAAATTCTGTTTAAATTAAGTAAGTTGCTCAACAACAAAAACAAAACGTAAACAAAAAGAACAACAACAATAACAACAATAAGCAAGCACAACCAGAGAACAAAAAGCTTAACGAATTTTCAACAATTGTTGCTATGTGTTTTTCTAGAATTAGTTTACAAATAATAGAAATTATAAAAACCATAATACTAATCGTAATAATAATAACGTTAACTAAATGTGTGCTAAACGTAATTAACATTTAAAACGAAAAGCAAACAAACAACAATTTAAGAAAATCCTAAACATAAATCGGATAACAAACATCTAAGCTGGGTAGTCGCATGTAAATCTCTAACAATTAACAGCCTAAGTTAGACCTAATTAAATATTACGAACAGAAACAAGAAACAAAACAAAAAAACGAATTGCATTTAAAAACCTAAACCTAAACCTAAACCTAATTCTATATATATACAATTATTTATACTAATCTATATATATGTATGCTGTATGTATGTATAACTCTATATATGTAAAATGTTTTTGACTATTTTTCACTATTTATAGAATATGGATATATAGTATATGCTATATACGATATATACTATTTGTAAACGTACGCCTCTATTTCGTCTGCATTTTTAGTTGTGTCCACATATATATACATATATATATAAATATATATTATATATATTTTTATTAATGTATAACTATGCGCACTAATTATATGCATATTATTGTATATGTATAACCAATTGAAAATTAAATGTGTAATAGCTGTTGCTAAACGTTAACTATCAGTTGTTTTATTATTATCGATTATTGTGTTTTTGGCCAAGAATTCAAAAAACTCGGCAACTTCTGAAAGTAAATTGAAAAAGAAAGTTCAAACTACAAAATGAAACATTTTTGGCATTACATTAAAGGCAAAACGAATGCTTTGATTTCTCTGTGTGTAATATTTATTTGAAAATAAAAATGATAAATAAATATGTTCAGAATTCGGCAGTGTTTTAATAATTATAAGATTTATGAAACACTAAAAAATAAAAGCCAAAGAATCAAATTTTGTTGATTTCAGGCCATTTTGAACCCATTTTTAGTCAAACTTGGGTCAACTCTTGGAATGCGAGATTTTGAATAGTCATAGTCCGTACAATTTGAAAGGGCATATCTTACCGAAATCGGACAATATACATCCTAAATATATATATATATACCCTAGATATATATACCCTAGATATTCAAATTACAAAATTTGGAAGTCGCATTATAGCCTGCCTAAGAGTATGCAGGGTTATTTGCAAAAGAGTTTCTCTTGCATGCAGCAAGTGTGCACTGCTTTTATTTATAGAAGTACAAAATCATGTTAATATTAAGCCCGAAAATATTCGATACATTTCGATACACATTTCATTCAACACATGAATTTGTAGCCCGAAAGGGTGCTTTACTTTTTGTAGTACATTTCATATAGCGCAAAAAAATCGCAAAAATCCGAAACGACCCAAATTGAGAAAAATGACGACTTTGGCTAAAAGCGGCTTTGATTACGAGTCGAACGAGACCAATCTCGCCAAGATCGGACGTTATTTAGCCGAAATACGGCCAGTTTAAAAAAGCGAAAAAATGCCGTTATAATTTTGAAGATTTTTCTTTTGAGCCAAATCGGTTCAAAATGGTCCGATTTTGGAAAGATAAACGTTTTTGAACTCGTTCTGTTTAACGCGCCCGATGCGCTATGGGCACATGAAGGTCATAATTGCAAGTCATAATTTTGGCACCTCCCACCCTTTTTTTAAACATCTTGCAGTACATTTCATGTAACGCGTTTTTATTGCAAATCGTATATAAAATATATATGGAAAATATTAATGTTCTTACATGCTAGGTTAGTTCAGGTATTTAGACCAGTTGTATAGATCATAATATGAAATCAAATTGTAATATATATATGAAATGGCTAAAACAGAGGCAACTACTATCGCTGTTGATCCTGCTAGCAAAACAAAACTCAAATTGAGCCGTTCATCGCCTGCTGCATATTGGAGGTGGACACCAGCTTGAGGGCGTCCATAATGCCGTTCAGATTTTGTTCATTGTAGGCTTGGCCCTGCAGCGGAGTGACCACCGGCACCAGCTGCTCGCTCTGGGGCAGCTGCAAGCATATTTTGGACATCAGACCCTGTCCAAGCGAAAGGGATGCATTAGAAATGTGCAGCAGATTGAAGGATATGATAATACTCACAGCTTCCACTTCAACGTTTAGTTTGAGCTTCATGCCACGCTCATCGCCCTTCACCTCGAGCTCTTTTTCCACCGTAAACTTGGGCGTCTTGCCAATGACCCAATCCCAGGAGCTATAGTTGGCGCGCAGCTCCTCAATGCCGGGGAACCATTTCTCCGTGGGATTGATCAACTGAAAGCCGCGTTGCTTCATTGTCTGGGTGCTGCCACCATCCTCCAGTTCTGTCGCTGCGGTGCGCAGATACTCATAGCCCACGGCGGAGAGCAGTTGCGGCACGTTAACATTGCGATTAACATCGACCAGATTGCGTATGGGCGAGGGCACCGAGGCGGTGGCACGGCTTATATAATTGGCTGGCTCCTTGACGAGCGACTCGCCCAGATGCAGCTTGTTGGCGCTGGCCAAAATGGTGCAGTGGTGATACGCATTGGGACGACCCAACTTGGCGGCCGTGCCTGATATCTGATAAATAAAATAGAAAGGTTACAGATAAGGTTCAACAAACCAATTGAGAACGAGATAATGAAGAGACAAAGACAATGTAAAAAGAGAACATTAATAAGGAAAGGAAATACAACGGCTAGCCGAATATTAAATACCTTTCCAAGTTGCAATACTCCGATACTGCCTGCAAAAAGACTTGCCTAAGCAAACTTTTGTCAGACAGATCAAGAATATATATGGTTAATGGGGTCGGTGCTATGCGACACACATTTCATGACAAACTTGTAATACCCTCTGCAGGGGTATAAAAAAAACCTTGAACTGTAAGCCTTCGCTTTATTTTCGGGCTCGGATATGGCTTCTTCAAGGGTAACAATTTAAATTTGAGAACTGAAGATCTGCAAAAATAAATTGATGCGCTTTTTCTTTTTAAATGGAAAATTTTCATTGACTCAATTTGGAACGTTGTCTTTCTAGCAATCATAAGCTGAAGGCTATTTATTCTAAGCTGGGTTCAGCTGGAGGCCAAGCCTCAACAGATGTGAGTTATTTTTTTCAATTAGGTTGATAAGCACTTAAGTACATAATCGCTGAAGCGTTTGGCGCTTGGCCACATGTCTAACCTTTTTGTTGGCGATAACAATATCATCGCGATCATTGATCTCCGTCTTAATGGCCCACTCGCGGAACAGGGAGCGCGTCACAATGTTCAGATTGTACTTGCGATCGTAGCGCTCGCGGGGCGTAAAGAAGGTGCAGTTGAGATTGCCCCGATCGTGATAGACGGCGCCGCCGCCGCTGTTGCGACGGGCCAGCGTGATGCCGCGCTCCATGAGCTTGGACACGTTCGCCTCGGTAAACGGATTCTGATGGCGGCCAATGACAACGCACGGCTCGTTGACCCACAGGAGCAGCACATGATGATGCCCGAAATCAAAGTTCTTATACAGCCAATCCTCCAGAGCCAAATTAGTGAAGATGTCGCTCGATTGCGAAATGAAAACCGATTTCTTGATATCAGCGTCAGCCACAGCAGCAAGCGTTTTGCGCTTATTGCCAGATGTCGTCGTCGTCGTCGTCGGCGTCGGCGTCGTTGTTGTTGTTGCAGTGTCAGTTACATTGTTGTTATCATTAGTGCTCGATGCGAGCCGCGTGATTGCTGCCGACGACGCTACGCCCAGACGCTGCAGCAAGTGCAGCTGGCTCGAATTGCGCCGCAACAGTATGCTCATATTAAATATTTAATTTAACAATCAGGCAAAATGGCACAGCTGCTGGTATAAATTTCTCTGGTCTTTTTTTCTTTTATTGCACAACTCGCTGCAGCGCTGATGTTGTTGTTGCTGTTGCGCTCTTCTTACAAGGAAGTCAATTGGCGCTGTTGCTATGTCGCTCTCTTTCGCTCTCCCACTGTCTGCCAGGCGGCGGCAATGCACTTGCTCACTATTTGCGTTCGTTGTTACAAAAACAAGGTCAACGTCAGCGTAAGTCGCTAATTGACATATATACATACATACATATATATGTATTTATTTTGGGCAGGTTTTTAACGGCCGCTGTTCTTACTTATTTTGTGGTTAGGTTGAGTTTGTGTCTATGTCTATATGTCTATGCCGCGCTGTGTGTGCGTGTGTGTTAGTTGTATTAATTATTATCTGTAGCGCTTCTATTTTAGCTTATTATTTTTCTGTCTGACGCTTTGTTGTTGTTCTGCTCTGCTTGTCGTATTCCTTTTGGTTTATTGCTTTTGTTTATTTTTTTTTATATATATATATTTTTTTTGGTTGTTGTTTTGGACTTTAGAGCGTGGTGGACTTGCTGGCTGCGATGTTTGCTGCCACAGAGCTAGCGGAGATGAGATATTCGTGCAGGGCGGGCGTCTGGTGTAGCCACTTCCAAGTTTGATGCAATCCGCAGACACGCTTACGTAGGCCCAAACAGTCCTTGTTGCTGCACCAGTTAACTTGCATACTACGCTTCACACCCATCCAAGAAAGAACGTCTAAAGGGTCGACAGGAATTTAGGCCAGCACACGTTGCTCTGGCCAAAAAAAGCACACACGTCTGCTACGCAATATGGCACAATGCGAAAAGTTGGTAAAATTGGTTGGTTCTGCCTTGAAAATTGAAAAAATTTTCCACTCTTTCTTTGTGCCGTTCGACGGCTGTGCGGGGGATGGGACGGTCGAACGCGGTGTAACACAAAACAAACACAGACAGCGGCAACGGTAAATGTCGTACGTACGAGAAATCACGTCTGATTTACATTGGCGCAAGATAAGCACTGAAACCTATTGGAATGGCAATTCCAATAAATATGCAGCATGGCTCCCCATCTAACATAGCTGCTCCTCACTTAACAGTGAGCTTTCTGCAATGCGTTTGTGCATTTACAATTTAAATATAGCTGCAAACGAAGAGTCTACGCACAATACAAAATTCTTGTAATTTAATCAACGTAAATAAATTTACACTTAACATATGTTGTCCGCGTTTGCATGTGAATGTCGAAACAGCTGTCACGCAAATTACAAGCAAAGCATTACGATGTGTTTACAAGGCATTCATTCGATTAAATAATTTATTTTAAGCAACGCTTAAGTCATTTCGAAATCAAGTATTAATTTGGTATTCCGCCATTATTGATATATTCAGCCTCCAGTGGGTCGATCGGCTTACGGGCATAACGAGCAGGCAGTTCCCAGTCTTCGATTGCTGGTCCACCTGTAACCTGTGGTATTTGAAGCGAAATATTAATAACAAAACTTATGTCTTAATCGTAATGCGCAACGTCTACTGTAGTAAATGGTCTATATAGTTAACCTTTTTGCCTTCTGAATCCTTTGAACTTGCCTGTTGACTTGGGCTTGGCTTGTTGTTCGCCGCTGATAGACCGCCCTTGCGGAATTGTATAAGAGGCACACGTTTTGTTAAAGAGACTAAATTTAATCGCACCATGTTAACTTTAAAATATGATTTAGTTTGCAAGACAGGAAAATGCCGAGCGAGAGTTACGTCAAAACAGCTGAGTGTAAATCTAAAAAGTGTTGCCACACTGTTTTAAGAAAATTGTAATTCACACAGAACGCGAGCAGCTATAGCGTTACCACTCACAGGCCTGCGGCGCAGAAAAACAAATTTGTTTGCATTTGATAATTGTGGAAAAAGTTCTGTGAAAATCCGTTTCCAAGCTGGCCAGCGCAATGAACGTCGCAGGCGGCGGCACCAGTACCACTGCAGGCAGTGCCGGCAACAATAATACACTACCAATGGCACAACTGGCGGACGGCTGGCTAGAGCTAGAATCAGATCCGGGTCTTTTTACTTTGCTGCTGGAAGATTTTGGCTGTAAGTAAATAAACTTGAACGGCTTGTTGTTATATTATTCACTGGCAACTTTTATTGAAGGTCACGACGTGCAAGTCGAAGAAGTGTACGACCTGCAAAAGCCCATTGAGAGTCCATACGGCTTCATTTTTCTCTTTCGCTGGATCGAAGAACGTCGGGCGCGTCGAAAAATAGTCGAGACAACTGCAGAGATATTTGTCAAGGATGAGGAAGCAATCTCGAGCATTTTTTTTGCCCAGCAGGTGGTGCCCAATAGCTGTGCAACCCATGCATTGCTTTCCGTGCTACTCAACTGCAACGAGAACAATTTGCAGCTGGGCGAAACGCTGAGTCGTCTCAAGGCTCACACCAAGGGCATGAGTCCCGAAAACAAGGGTCTAGCCATAGGCAATACGCCGGAGCTAGCCTGTGCCCACAACTCGCATGCCATGCCGCAGGCGCGTCGTCGCCTGGAACGCACTGGAGCTGGTGTAGCGAGTTGTCGTTTTACCGGCGAAGCCTTTCATTTTGTCAGCTTTGTGCCTATAAATGGGCAACTGTTTGAGCTGGACGGCTTAAAGCCATATCCCATGAACCATGGCTGCTGGGAAGAGCACGAGGATTGGACAGATAAGTTTCGACGCGTCATGGCTGAACGCTTGGGCATAGCGACAGGCGAGCAGGACATACGCTTCAATCTGATGGCAGTGGTGCCCGATCGGCGCATAGCCATCACGCATAAGCTGAAGATGTTGCGCACCAATCAGGCAATTGTCTCCGGCACACTCCAGAAGCTGCTCAAAGCCGATGAGCAGGGCGAGCGCGATGAACAGCAGCGTCCGGATACGCCCAACACGCTGCTGGAGCCGAGTGCGTTCACAGCGCGCGATTTACAATCGCTGCTCAAGAATCTGGATACGGAAATAGCCATCAATGAGCAGCATTTGGCCGATGAGAACGATCGCCGGCAAATGTTTAAGGTGGACGCCAGTCGTCGCACACACAACTATGACAAGTTCATTTGCACGTTCCTAACCATGCTGGCTCATCAGGGCGTGCTAGGCGAGCTGGTCAGTCAACATCTGTTGCCCTCCAAAAAGATAAGCGGACAGAGCGCCGCCAATCGCCTCAACAAGCAGAACAGCGCTGCGGCCAATACGGCGAACAGCAATGCAGGTGCCACTGCGGGCGGCGCCAAATCCCAGCAGCAGCAGCAACAGCAGCCACAACAACCTCAGACACCCAAGAATGGCAAGTCGCCCGGAAAGACGCCGGGTCGCCGGCGCAAGGGGCGAAACAAGTGCAGGAAGCGCAAGTGATGTGCGCTGAGAGAATTATTCTAAATTGGTACTATCAATACAAACTTAAATATATATATATATATATATATATATATATATAAATTACTATATATACTTAATTTAATTAGCAACTAAGTTTAGTAATTGACATCGGTATCGAACTGCATTTTGCATTTTTTGTTTTTTTTATTTGATCATTTTTAATAATAAAAAACATTTTGTTCATGTGATTAAATGTTTCAAGTCCTTATTGGCATTTAAAAGGACCCAAATGTGTTTGTGTGTGTGTGTTGTATGCATTACAATATGTTTGTATATATATATATATATATATATATATATATATTTCTATATATCTATATGGTAATTGTATAACAGAAAAAGAACCATTTTCATTTGATTTATCGTACTTCGTATTATCCGTCGCTTTTCTTTCAGTTAAGCGCAAACTTAAATTATGTAAATATTTTTTTGTTCAACAAAACAAAAACAATGCATACTAGCTACATGTTGTTTTACGTTTTTATAAACTATAAAACAAGGCATTTGACTGGCGCCTATCAAATGTTTAACAAAAAAAAAAAATTGGTTTGCTACAGACAATGACAATTGTTTAAGTTTTTTTGTTCTTCTCTAAAGCTGTTGATGATTAGGAGGATGATTGGTAGTGTTTCATAGTTTTTTTTGTAGTTGTTTATGTTTTGTTTTTGATAGACTAAAGCTAAAATGTTTCAAGCCGTTTATCATCTAAGGATATGGCCGTACACGGTATTTGTATATAGTAATATTTAACGTTACACATGTGAGCAGTAGAAGAGCAGCCTTTAGAAAAAACATAAATAATTATGCTTTATTTATTTAGTTGTTATTTTATGTTGTATACTTTTCTCTTTCAGTTTTTGGTTATTCATTTCGGTTCTTGTTTGAAAGTAAAAACACTTTGTTGTTGCGAATTTTGCTCAGTCCCCGAAATAAAATGAAGCGTTGACAAACACAAACATGCTGGACAACAGTTGAAAATTTTGTGACTCTCATGTAGATGGTTAGTGTGATTTTTTTTTTTGGTGTGTGTGTGTGTGTCTGTGGTGTGTGTGGTGTGTCTCGTTGTTGCCTATGAAATAGTGAATGCTGTCTGCATTCCTGTTACTGTTGTTGCTGCATTCAACTTGAAACCGTCGCAGTCGACTCCTCGCTACCATTTGTTAGCTGCGTGGGCGTGCCTGCTGCGGATGCCTCATCCTTTGGCTGCTCAGTCTCGGACGTATTATCATTGTTATTGACAGCAGCCACAATGGTCTTGAGTGCACTGGTTATCTCACTCTCATCGGGCACATCATTCTCCTCGTTATTCGTCTTCAAATGCTTCTCAATCTCGCTGCGAACCTTTACAATGTCCTTTTGGCTGTGGAGTGAAGCCAGTCTTTAGCATACAGATTAGGATTAGCTTTAAATTTGGGTGCCCACCTGATATGCACAAAGAGTATGCCATTGATTGTGTTTAGCATTTCCAACACAGAGCCCATCGAGGGCGGCGTTATGTGTATGGGCGGCAAATCGCTGGTCAGCTTTCCATTGGAGTAGATGTCGTTCATCTTGCGCTGCAACGCCACAGCCTCGTGGGTCAACAGACGCAGGCACTCTGCCGACTCACGCGTCTTTTCGTGCTTCTCGCCCAGCTGTAAGCATGCAAAAGGATTTTATTGAGATGCTGCTCCCAATGGGCTGCTCAATAACACACACCTGTGACTTGTAAATGGAGTAGGTCTCCTTTTCGTTGTTCAGCGCTGAGCGGAAATCACCCATGCAGGATTGAATGCGCGCCATCAGATGATAGCTGACGGCCACATGCATCGCCTTGTTGCCAAAGTACTTCAGATTCAGCTTGAGCGCGTGCTCAATAAAACGCAACGACAGCTCGTACTCGCCCAGCGCGTGCAGTATCAAGCTGATGTTGCTCTGTGTGAGGAAATAAATAGGAAATCAGTATTTAATCGGACTATCTTTATCTTATTGCATTTGGCTACTCACATCGATCAAAGCCACCTCGGGATGATCTTCGCCACAGATAAGCACCAGCAAATAGCGTGCACGGTAGAGCAGCTTCAGGGACATGCCCACATGTCCATTGGCAAACGAGTAGAGCGACAAATGTGTCTAAGGGAAGAGAGAAATATAGCAATTAATGATAATTTAATTCACTTCTCAACGGACACCAATTCGAAATTGAAACCTAGGTTCATGCATGTGAAAAATCTTTGTACCCAATATCCATTAAAAATGGGCAGAAAATATATGTGTCACACAGTATATTTTCAATACTTACATATTCCAGAATGGTTGATGGATGATCAATGCCATTGACGCGCTCGCTCATGATGACCGCACGCTGTTGTATGGCCAGGGCGTCCTGGGCATCGCCCAGCAGATAGCTGAGGCGCGCCAACATGCGCAGACAGGAGCCATTCTCCTGGTGCATGGCGCCAAACACGTTGTTCAGCAAATTGAGCGCCTCGCTAATCAGTTCGTAGCCCTCCTTGAGCATGCCCTGCTGGATTTTGGCCTGGCCCGTCGTATAGAAGTTATAGGCATCTGTGGCGCGTGGACTTATGTGCTTGACCACGGGGAACACATTGACAATGTCGTCGTCGCCAAAGGTGGGCTTGTGCTTCGACTCAAAGTTATATTCGCGCAACAGCACCTGGATGCCCACCTTGAGGCAGAAGGCACGCAACAAACTGATGCGCAACAGTCCATACTTGGCGCCAGCGCTCTCAATGGAGTCACAGTCCAGCTCCCAGTTCCAATATGCTTTAACCTCCTTACGGATTTGCTGCCAAAGCGAACGTGGTGTTACCAGCGTCCAGTCGCAGTTGCTGCTTGTGGCACCAGATGTTGCAGCACCTGCACCACCGCTGCCCGCTGCCGTGGCATTGCCATTCTGTGCTGCTGCCGCTTGCGGCTTGGATGCCTTGGCGGCCTTGTGCTTGTTGTGCTTGCCGCTGTTGTTGCGGGGCTGTTTCTTGTGCAGCTCGTCGCTGCTAACGGCGGGATTGACCGGTCCCGTGGTTAGCAGACAATTGAGGAAATGACTTATTGCCGCCGACAGATGCAGTGGCTCGGTGCTCTGCATATATGTGTAGTAGATGTGCTTGGTGGCACGCACAATTATCTCGAGTATGGCAATGCGATGCAGATAGTCCATGCGCGGCATTTGGCCCAACATTTTGATCACCTTGCCCAGATAGCGCACATTGATGCCGTGACTGTGCAGCGATTCAGTCAGACTCTGGCCATCGATGGGTGGTGAGGAGTGAGCCATGTGCTCCTTGATGAAGGCGGGTATTTGCTTAAGAACCAGAAATTCAGCGGCATCCTGGACGAGGCGCTTTTGCTTGGCCAGCGATTGCACGCCGCCGTCGGGTCCATCAACATGACGTATGCCGGGCGAGAAGACATCTGGATTAAATCGGAAATCAAACTCCTTCTCCTTGAGCGAGCCCACAGCGGCGCAGGCGCGTTTAACAACCTCAGCGGCCTGCACCTCATTGGAGACGGCCACATTCGATTGGGCCTCGCGTATGGCATTCACCATGGCCTCAGCGCTCTTTGTCTCGCTGGGAGTGGGCTTAGATTCCTCTTTCTCTGCTGGCTGCTCTTCGGTCTTTTCTGGCTGCTCCTCGTTGGGCTCCTCCTGCTTTTCAGCAATGGCGGGCAGCTCCTTTTCGGCATTTGCCGTGGCCGCCTGTTTTTTGGCATTCAGCTGCTGCAGATGCACTGCAGCAATGCGTATGAAAGTCACATAGCGATCCTCAATAAAGGCCTCGAGCAGCTCCTGGCGCAGGCAGCACAGCTTGTGGCGATGTTCAATGGGAAAGCCCATATCGGTCAGTTCCTTGCTAAGTTGCACATCCTGCAGTTTGAGGAAATTTACATCCGGTGGAAACGTGCGCAACAAATCCAGAATATAGTGACGTCCATCGTTGCCAATGATGCCCTTGCACTCGACCGAGGAGCACAGCTCCACGGGCTCATCACGTTCATTCAGCACCGAATGCGGCAGGATCTTCAAGTGCTTGCCGGCCTGACGCAGGAGCTCCAGATACTTGGGATGACTGAGCACCGTCTTGCCAAAGTCAATGGAGCCATAGACAACGGACTGCTCCTGCTCCCGTTCCAGTATGCCTGGAATAATGGACTGGGCGGTCACACGATAGCCACGATAGTCAATGACAACGGTGCCCAGCGTGTAGAGACCCTCGATATCCACCGCATTGTAGACACGCACGCCATGCAAATCATAGCGTGGCGCCACAAATGCGGCATGATCGCCACCCAGTTCCTTGTAATGATCACGCACATCGAAGCCCAGCGAGAAGAATATGTTATTCCAAATGAACATTTGCATTTTGGCATCCTCGCCGGGATTAATGGCCAGCACATTACCATCTATGACAGCCATGGCGCCGCGTGTTGCGGCCGTCACAAAGTCCCCGTGGACCTTAAAGATGGCGCGCTCGCGCAGCAAGCGCTCTGGCAGTGTCTTGCGTGGCAGTTCCCGGGTCGTCTGCAGCTCCTCGTTCCAGTCGCGCGTCTGACCGGGTATATGCTCCTCGTAGCTGTAAAAAAAAGAAAAAATGTTTATATGAAATCAAATTCGGCAGGCTGTAAGCCCACTCATCGACTTACCCCAGCTTGGAGCTAAAGGCATCTTCGGCACGTATGGCATCCACGGTGTGCTCCAGTTGAGGCGCAGCCCATTGGTACACCTGGTAAGGAGTCGCCACGCGCTCGAATGCATGGCGCATGGTGCGACGCTTTTGTATGGCCTGAAAGGCGCGCCGGAACGACGGTGAGATGTGCGAGAGTAGATCGATGAGCGAATGACTCAAATGGCTGGGATTGTCCGGCTTGGGATTGAAGCATTCGTCTGTGGATTGATTAATGTAGAAGCCCTTGGAGCAGGCAGAGATGTGAAAGCGTTTATCCTCCATGGTGACCACATACAGATACATCAGATCACCATGTAACTTGCGTGGACCGGGCGGCGGATTCCATGCCGATGTGGTCAACACTTTGAGTGCCTGTGGTCCCTTCGCATTCTTAATATTTGGATGCAGCGGCAACAGAGGCGGCTCACGCACACCAGGCGTCACATAGTCGGGCGGTGTGCAATCAACAGAGTCCGGACGTGTCCGCTTCTTGTCCAGCAGATCGCCCTGTGTTATGGTATTCAAATAGGTTAACGAGGTGCAATCGATGCCATTGTAGGCATCGGCCGGATCCAGATTCTTGAGAAGATCGCGCACATGGCGCACATGAATGCGTGCCTCACGCATTGTGTACGGCTCCTCGACGACGCGTATGGTAGAGCCCTGCTCCAGCGGCTCAATCGTCTTAAGTTCAGCAAAATTGTCAAGCGTCACGTTGTCCAGCTGCAGTGAGAAGCATGTTCTGTGGCATGTCTCCTCGCGATCCATGAGCAGCTGATGTATCTCCTGCACTAGCTCCATGCTGGACAGCTGCACGGATAGCACATCTGTCCCGGGGCTACTGATGTTAACCGTTATGCCAATATCGTGCAAAGCATCCAAATCAACATCTTCTCCGGCAGCAGCTGCATCACCCTCAGCCACAGCTCCCTCAGCAGAAGCACCACCCTCGGCTCCATCCCCCGCTAAAACGCCTGCACTGACAGCCTCGCCCTTCTCGGCCAGCACATTTGCATTGGCATCGGCGCCATCGCCATTCTCCGAATGGCCATTGCTTAGAGCGGCGCTAGCTTCAGCTTCGACTGCATTTTGAGGCGGGCTTTTGTTGCGATTTTTCTTGCCTGCAAATATTACAAAACAAGAAACAACAATTGTTATTCAAATTGTGGTCAAGGGCGTCATCTTGTTTGAGTATCAACTATTGTTAATGCTTTCGGTGGGGGTTTCCCGGCGAGCATAGTTCACGAACTAGTTACGTGTTCATAAATTATATGCATGTATGTTAATTAGCTTATTGTTGAAAAACTTCATTAGCTTGCACAATCTACTTAGATGAGCTAAGATCTGGCTCTGAACCATTTAAGTTCGGCTTAGAGGTTCCAGTTCACAATGTGCGGCACATTAATAAAATGGGATGATGAAATTTATTGATACGATGTGCAATAATCAGGTCCTAATTAAATCAAAAATATGTGCATCAGACAGGCAGCAGTGCACAGTGAAACGCGTAAAACCAGCTAATTACTCGTGCTTGAAAAAATTTGAATTGTCAAGAAATTATTGTTGCTGGCAACCATTCCCAAACATTGCGTAGAAAATGAAATAAAAAACTAAGAATTTGCTGGAGGGCAACCAGAACGACCTGACTTCACCTACATTATGGCTTACTTGTTATATAATAATGCTTTGTGAGCGTTTACTTTTGCCATTCACTGTAACCGGCCCCAGGCACATAACATATAAATTTACGCACACATGCACACACACATGGTGTCTGGATGCATGTGTGTGCGAGTACTGTAAAACAAAACAAGAGAAAAGCAAACAAAACGATTCACAGCACCCGCTGATAAGGCAGACCTGCAAGAATACAGCGGCTAAACTCGAAACTAAACTCAATTTTCAGGCATCTTTTTTTCACAGAGCCACGCTAATTTCAACAGCACAGTTAGAAATTACACCGAAATCAAATTTCGTAAACAAACCAATAAACGGAGAGCAGGGGCTGAGAGCTAAACAAAAACAAGACAGAGAGAGAGAGAGAGAGAGAGGCCGTTGAGAGTTATGCTTGGGATCAGTTTGTTGTAGATGCATTTTGCATTTTGAAGAAAAATCATGATTTACATAATTGACAGGGCGATTTATCGTTCAAATGCGTTTATGTTTTAATGCTTGAGAGAGTTTAGTTTGCTTGTTGCCTGCGAATGCGTTAAGTGGTAAGCACGTGGTAATTGTAGGTTAAAGAAACATTTAAATCTTTGGGTGCCGCTGTCGCCGCTGCAGGGGGTTAATGAACATCGGGCAACGACATACATACATTTCTTCATAAAAACATGAGTGTGTGCGTTTATCGTGCGTTGCTATGTATAAAAGAAAAGGCACGAACACAAATACTCGCTCATCGCAATGTACGCAGTACGTAACTCCCACTTATACAAATGCAATTGAAACGCACGCGGTTCTGCCCGTTGGGGAGGCAACGACAATAGTGCCCAGCAATAGACGGCAGGCCGCATTTAAAGCATTATAGAAAAAAATACATTACGTAACGTAAAAATGTTATGTGATGGACTATTTTTTCTCGCAAATATCGCACTTGACAGTTATTGCCATTCGCTGGTTTTATTCGCACAATTAGCACATAGAAAAGTGATTAGGGTGAGGGGCTAAAAGAGGGGGGTGGGGTGCTTTGATCGAAAATGTCATAGTTAACGCACCTTTCTTCTTCGTTGCGGCGCTGCTGCCATTGACCAAGTTCTTTTCGCCGGCTGCGGGTGCGTTGTTGTTGTTGTGGTTCTTGTTCTCCTTGGCTTTGGCCTTGCCAATGGTACCAGCATCGCCAGTCGCCGCCGCATTTTTTGCATCAATCTCGAGCGCCATGCTGCTGTTTCTGTTTTAGCGCACAAACCCAAATCCAAATTCTATTACACGTTCACGCTGCCGTGTTACACAACTCTACGCTGCTCTGGCGACTGCTGCTTACTTGCTTGCTCTCTGCTCTGCTCACTGCGCTCAAACCGATTGCGCGTACGTGATTTTGATTTTTAACTAGAATATCTAATATAAACGGGGATTTATTGTCCGGGTGGCTATTTGTAAACATATGACAATTATTTCTTTGGCTACGCTAGCATTAAAACAGCACGAGTTACGATTTCGAGTCGTTAATTTAGAAATTAACGCGTTGTTTTCGGCTGGAACTCGTCAGTGTGACCGAACCAAACCAGAGATGAAATACACTTTCTTCACCGAAAATAAGCGACTAGTATTTTTGGTATTCTTCCGGGCACACACAACGACCAATCACCATTCAACGCCAACACGCGAATAGTCACACTGAATTTGTTGTCAACAAACATGTCGCTGATTAAAAATTTAGTTAAAGAAACGGAAAACAAGCCCCGAAAGAAGAAAAAGAATGCCGGATCCGACGACAGTGATTCTGGGGAAAAAGACAAGCCATTGGGGCCGTTCATTAAAACGGCTACGGATTTACAAAGATTGAAGCTGGAAAAACTTATGAAAAATCCTGTAAGCTTAATTGTCGCTCACTGTAAACAATAGCTAATTAAGTTAATATTGACAGGAAAAGCCAATTATTATACCAGAGCAGCGCCGAGAGCGCGACTACATGTCCTCTGTGCCCACATTTGTGCGTAATGTGATGGGCAGCAGCGCTGGTGCGGGCTCCGGCGAGTTTCATGTCTATCGCCATCTGCGACGCAAGGAATATGCACGCCAAAAGAATATACAAAATCAAAGCCTACGCGAAGCTGCTGATGATGCGTATCAACAGAAATTGGATAATAATAAACGAGCTGCCGAGGAGCGCACGGCAAAAAAACGCGCAAAGCGCTTGAAGAAAAAACAACGGGCAAAACGTCCACGCGAACAAAAACCAAGCGAAGACAAAAAGCCAGACAGTGAGTCCAGTGGAAGTGCCTCAGAAGCCGAAGCTGAGGTGAATACTGCAGCTGAGGAGTTGCCGGCGCAAGACAGAGAAGTGGCGAGCGTTACACAAGCAACAGAAGACATGGCTGAGGAGCCAGCGAGTGCGCCAGCTTCAAACCCCGACGCAGAAATGGAAGCGGCTCCTAGAGTGAACGAAGCGGAAACAGTTGCAACTGCAGCTTCTGGAACGCAAGGAACGGAAACAGTTGCGACTGCAGCTTCTGGAACGCAAGAAATGGAAACAGTTGCAACTGCTGCTTCTAAACCGCAGGCTGCAGCAGAAATCGAAGCCTCCCAGCCAGAGAATTGACCTAATTTAAATATTTTGTATGCATATATAAACAAATATAGCTTATGGTTTATAAGTGAAACAAATTTGTGGATTTATTCATGTTATGTATGTATATATATATATATCAATCTATATTAACCAGCGATAAAACTGCCATTAAAGTAATAATTGGCTAATTATCGATTGCATGTGTGCTTTATCGGTTTATCGTGATAATAGGCCAACATTTTAAAGCAGCTTTGGTGATAAGAGAAGCGTTTCGTTTTTTGTATTTTTGTTTAATTGTAATTCCCATAACTTATGCTAAAAAATAGGTGCTTCAAATACGAGAGTAGTGTATAATCGACTGCGTTCGACTATGCAATACCCTGTACCCAGTTCTCGCAAGCAAATGTAACACTCAATTCATGGATGGATCTGGCGCAATATCAATATGGGTACAGAGCATTTAAAATGTCATCAATTGTTGATTTTGTCGTTTTTCTGTTTCTTGAAGAAGCAAATTTTATTGTTTACAAATGGTTTTTGTTTTCTTGTTTGTTTAAATCCACAATCCGGTTCTGCTTCTTAATTTCTGCATGTTTGTGTGTCTACACGAAATTTGCAATGTTCCACAAATATTTAATAATGTATACATATATACTACTATATTTTGCCTTTGCACTTATGAACAATAAAATTAAAATTAAATTTGCAGCATTTTCACTAAAGTAAATTATATTTTTGAACTTAAAGCAAACTTAAACTTGTACACATTTTATATAGTTTTATTTGTATTGTTTGTTGTTTGTGGTTTTGTTTAGATCCTTTAGCAAAAAAGAACTCAAAACGTCCAAGCTGTATTCATAAATGTTTGTAAAAGCGTTGTTGATTGTTATTCTTTCAGATAAAAATTACCTCAAATTTCATAAAAGTAAAATTTCAAGTAATTAATAACAAATTTGCCTTCCATTAGAAATCGTTCGCTCTGCGTTATAATAATAGTATATTTAGAAGAGGGAAAATACTTTTGTTTGTTGCTGCTTTTGTTGTTGTGGTTGAGTTTTCTGTTCTTATATTGCGCGAGGGTGTGGCATACATTTATCTATATTATTATGCGCTTATATGCAACAAAATTCAGAGACGACAACATCATATAGTATCGTATTTTCGCTATAAAGTCTATTAAGACTGTGTTGAGTGACATTGCAACATTTGGATTTTGACAAATACATTTTAAGTCGTACAATTGTTTTTTGTGTATGCGTATTTTCATAATATATCGTTTTTCAAATTGGTTTTCCACACTGACAAGAAAACTACGAAAATTCAACTACAGATCTTAAGTTTTTGTCGGCTAGCGAGCGTGCTTTGTGGGCGTTTGTTTTGTGTTGTTTCGATTTGTTGTTTTTTTTTTTTGTATGTGTTCTTTTTTATATTTTTTGAGGCGTGGGTCTACACAGCATTTAAATTAACAATAATCGTATGTATATTTAAAGGTATATATATATAAATATGCATGTACTTTGTATAGTTGGTAGGTAGGTAGGTTAGTTGGTTAGGAGGCCATATATTAAATAAATATTTCGTTTCTTTCGCTGTTTAGTTATTTTCTTCTAATTGCTGCTTGCTCGGTTTTAACTTTAGACATACATCATATGTATACATACACATACATATATATATAGATATATTTTGAAATATACAATTGATGTTTGCATTGATGCATCTGGTAAAGGTGGCTGAGACTGTGTGCTGTTTTGCATACTCAAATATATATATATGCATACATATATATATATCTATATATATAAATATTGTAGCTTTATTAATTATGTTTAAATTGAGAAATAAGCAAATCTTTTGCCGAGTTCCTAACGACATTCCCAAACTTTAACTGTTTGATCTACGCTGCCGGAAATGACATAAGGATGCGCTTTGTGAAAATCTAAAAAAAAAGTAAATGTGTTAAAAACAAACTACAAACTTGATATGTGGCTTATGTTGCACCCACCAATTGATGTGCAGAAATGCTGATGCGCATAGAGCGTCTTCATGCATCGCTTGTTGCGCAAGTCCCAGACCCGAATGGTCTTGTCATCACTGGCTGATACCAAATATTTGCCACCCGGATGGAATGCCAAGCCCCGCACCCAATTGTCGTGCCCGTTCAATGTGAGCAGGCACTGTCCAACGCTCACATCCCAAATGCGTATGGTTTTGTCACGTGAGCCCGATGCCAGGAATGGTCCCTGATGGTGACCCTTCTTGTTGTCAGCGCCGGCTGCTTCATTTATTGCTGATGCTGCCGCCTCGGGCGCCCAGGCAATGCATTCCACCGTATGCTCATGATCACGTAATTCAACCTGCAGAATAAAGCAAAATGTTTAATTGTGATATAGTTAAATTCATTTAATTTAAGGCCACAAATTATTCCATGTACGGGAAGCCTTAGAGAAACACGTGTATAGGAAGCCCCGAAGTTGCATGGCTTCTATTTGATTCCTTGACCATGCTTACATATAAGGATTCTATCCGTTGTCTGTGTGCTTGCTTACCTTGCAGTCTTTTGAATTCGTCAACCAAACGCGTATTGTGTGATCATTTGAGCATGTGGCAAAGATGCTGCCTTCAATGTGCACGCGCACCATTCGCACCCACTCCCGATGGCCGGTGTAGGTTTTAACGCAGTAGCTGGACATGAAAATTATGCACAATTAGAACTGTTTTGATGCACTGCGAATTTCTGTTGAAAACTCACCCCGTGGCCACTTCCCACATTTTGATAGTGCGATCACGTGATGCGGATAGCACATAGTCTCCGGCGGGCACAAAGGCCACCGAGGAGACATTGTGATCGTGACCGTGCATGGTTTTAACACACTCGTAACTCTGTTGGAAGTCCCACAATTTAATGGACAAATCAGCACTGCAGGAGGCTGTAAGGGACACAAAGTTAGGAGTTTAAAAACCAAGGGCCTCGATTGCTAACTAGCAACTGCTGGCATTACCTAAGAGCTTGCCCTGCGCATCGAATGCCACATCCTGCACAGAGTCTGTATGTCCCTTCAGACTACGCTCATATTCGCCAGTTTCGAAATCCCATATCTTAATGGTGGCATCTTCCGAAGCAGAAACCATGAGTCCGAATATTGGATGAAATATAACCTGCAATAACAACAATAATCAATTTAATGCTGTATCGGTGAATTTAAATGCTAAACTAACCCTCGTTATGCTGGCACGATGTCCTGTTAGTGAGTATTTCTCTGGCGGCCTGGGTATCCATTCGCCTGGCGTACGTTTGTTCTTTGTGGGCGCACCCTCGATAACCTCCTTTTCAGCTTCCGTTAGCTTAGCCTCTAATTCCATGACCTTCTTTTGCAGCCGTATGACCGATGTCCATTTCTTTTCTAAAAGGCCGCCAAACTTCTTTTCCGCTTCTGTGCTGAGATCGGCCTCCTTACGAAAGGCCTCCAGTGAGTCGGCATAGCCATTTGAGCCCAAATAATCGGCAATCGCTTGGTTACTGCATCGCAGCACACCAAATAAAACACATAGAAAATTCGAAATGATTTAGTTAGACTGGTTTTATGATGATGTTGATGGTTACTTACAGCTCCTCGCGCTGCCGCTGCGACAACACCATTTTCATGCTGTTCTTCGGTTTCGGCGAGCTTCAATTCTTTTGCTGTTTGCCTCGATTTGTTGCTGCCTGCCTGTGCAATGCTGCAGAGAAATAAGAGAAGAAACATGCATCAAGACAAACGCTCGAGTATTATAAATGAATGACTGAACAGGAAATTAGTTTCACAAAATAAAAAGGCAAGTTTCGCAAAGGGGCAAGTCACCCACATAATTATACCCTGTACCCATTGCAAAATGGATATAAAAAAGCGTATATGACAGTATCGCAAATGTATATAACATGCAGCAGGATTTTATTTCGGCTATTTAAAGTTCTGTACATATCCTTAAGCACCAACAATAGCCAAGTCGATCTGGCGACTATATAAGGTAGTTTTTACATTTAGAGCATAGGTTTTTCAATGACACACACAGAGCAGGTTTCTTAGCGATAGCTCCTCTCTTTTATCTGAAATAGGTAATTATCGATTTTTAAGCCAGTTTTTTGAGCATACCTCAAGGAATAAAATAAGCCTGAGATACAAAATATGATATGTACATGCTCGTGTAGCACAAACAGTCGCGGCAATCCGGAGCTGGTACAGGGTATCTGCTAGTTGGGCAACTAAATAGACACCTTCTCGATTTATTTTGGCAAGCTTGCCTCAAGACGCCGCCTTTTTGGTGTGCATACTCATTAATCTACTACTACTTCCCTCCGTCTACGTCCCTATGCCTTCCCTCGTTCCTTTCATTGTTTCGCAGCGTGTAGCATGATGATCATCAACATAATTATGAACATCTTCAGCCTCCGAAATTGTTTCGTTTGTGTGTTTCTGGCACACCGAAATTTTCGGTTCGTCTGGCCGCCATTAAAGCGCGCATTGTCTGCAAAATCTAAAGCTCAGCCGGTGGGCCAATCAGGTTGCAGCAACTATTCGCAATGACTTCCATGTTTTGAACTTTGTATTTGCTCAAATGCAACTCTGCCTATAAATGACACATCGATAACTGCTCAAATATACCAATGCAATAGTCAACTGCTTCCAAAATAGTCAAAACAGCACCGTTGAGAGCAGCTGTTATTTAAGTAGTTACTTTAAATAGCAAGCCATGTTGTACTTGTTGTTGGTTATGGCAAGAGCAATTCAATTAACTCAAGGTGGTCAGCAATAGGAAGAACAGCAATAAGCAACAGGCAATACAAATAAAACAAAACACAGGTATCACGCAATAAAACGACATAAAACTAAACGAATCTAAGCGAAAAATCAACGAAAGCATAACGCGTTTTTGTTTTCTTTCTAGATAAGTATTTGACGACACATTTGTGTGTGTGTACCACGTTGCCAACCATAGCAAAGTTACAAGCAGCGCTGACAAAGCCAATTAGCAAGATCTAACGGTAGTTCAAGCAACTTCTTATAAGTAAATAACGCAAAACGAAAGAGAGACGCACAACAAAGTCCAAGCTTGGATTACACAGACACACATACATATGCACTCGAATCGAGGAAATGACGTTTTCAGTTTATTTTTGGTCGCTTAACCATCGACAAATAATATTTAACGATTTTTGAACTAGCTGCTGAACACAGGGCGATACACAATTTAATGAAAACTGACCAAACGAGTTCAAGCGTTGAAATTTGCTTCTTTTTTTTTTTTGCGGCGACGTCGACGTCGGCATTGAAACTAGGCATGAGTCACTCGCTTGGAGCGCAGTGCGAGAGCAAAGGCAGCCTTAATCAGCTGTTGGGACATTCTCTCGCGGAGGAACTGTGGCAAAACCAAGACACCATGCGCCCATTAACTGCGCATCTAAATATAAAATAAAATCAATATTCAAAATGAGAAAATAGACAACGCTAACGTCACGAGTATTAACGGAACGCGTGTGGGTTGATAGGTTGTATAGGAGCAGGAGGCCAGTAGGCGCTTAATGCCGGACACCGTCAACAACCGTTGTGTTGTGGCAACCAGGCGTGCGTTTTGTTCTTATTGGGGCCAGCATTCCAATACACAGGCATGCGCCTTGTAACTTCCAGCTTTGTAACTGTGTGGGTCGAGCTAGTAACGGTGTTCCACAGCAACAGCAAACAAAAAATCAACAATAAATACAGCTACAAGGGGGCGTTTGGATCACACGCTGTACAAGATTTGAAAGGCGTCCACTGACGCTGCGAAAAAAAGGGTTACCATCGCGCTGACAGCCACACAAAATAATATATGCCCTAACACACACAGACATAGCTACACAAATGTATTGCATATTCCAATTTGAATTGTAAATTCGAAATGCATATGTAGCTGTAAGTTTTTATGTGCCGATTACCTGTTCGAAGAGCTCGCGTGGGCGTCTGATGTCAGCATGTCTGATGTACATACATATGCATAAGGATGCAGGAATGTGCGCTTCTCTTCAAAGAGCGCGTGTGCAAAAAAACGTTTAAGAGAGACCTTGCACTTGCCTGTGCACTTGGCTGCCAATTGCGTGTGTTTCTCACGCTTCGCCAGTGTTGGCAATGTTTTAATTAATTACGCTTGCCCACACAGTGCTGAGAATTTGGCAATGCAGCAAATTAAGTAAAAGTTTCGAGTATTGATTAGGAACTACACTTGCCAACAAAATGTGTGAGACAAGACAATTCGCATTAATTATAACCTTTAGCTGGGAAAGTCGGACAAACACAAACACCTTACGTTGCATACAATAACACTGTAAAAGCTCGTGCCTGTTCACGAGAAGATAACACAAGTGACGAAAACAAAGCGGGGAGGGACAGTGAAAGAGTAGACAGACAAGAAAGACAGCGCTAAGAGTGTCAGAAAACAGACCTAATAGATAATGGCAGCAGCTATACAGCAGCAATTTGTGGGCAATTTGCACAGTCAGTCTCAGACTTGGCGACTCCAGACCGAAGAACCAGCTTAACTCAGCAAATTGCACACGTTCTGGGAAATGCAGCGAGCGCTGTTAACAGTTCTACAACTATATGTGGGCCCAAATACCACAGTCAAACACATGTGTTTTGTATTTTAGTGTATGTGCGATGGCCAATGCCAAAGCAGCCCAAAACGGAAAAACTGTAAAAAGAAAGAAAAAAAAAATAAAAACAAGATTTCTACCGAGACACGACCAAGTTGCATTTGCAGAACTGGTTTGCTTTTTAACTTTGGCCCATGTAAAAAGCTGTTAGAGGCGCTTGGGGTGCAGGCGAAGGCATCGAAATTCGCTGCTTACGTTTGTTCTGGCTAAAAATCGATCAATTTCCCCAGTCAGGGGCAGGGGTAACAGGAGGCGTAGGAGGATACATGCGCAAAAACGCAACACACACACACACGCGCGCACACATAAAACTGACGCAGGGGACGATGTGTCATCGCTCTTTGGTGGTTGTTGTAGCAAATAGGAAGAACTTGAAATTGTTTTTGTTTTTGCAATTGTATGTTAGGTTGAATTTTCGTGTATATTTGTACTTTAGTTCAGTTTACACTTTGCAGCATTATTTGCATAACTTTAGCTTGTTCGCTATGCTTTTCAATAACAAAAACACGCATATATATATATATATATATATATATATATACAAGCGCGCACACACACACACACACCAAACACAATAACAACAACAACACTGACACTGACGAAAAATAAAAACTGTTACGACGGCCATCTTGAATGAGCAGCGCAGCCAGCGTCTCTGCGGCAGCGTTTAAAAAAGTGGCAATATGCAAAATTGAAAAAGGCCAAATAGATTTGTAAGACACGCACATTTGCCACAAAACGATTGCGTTTTAAAAGGGGTTTTCGTTTCTTTCTCTTATAAGCGCGCACCAACACACTGCCAATGTTCATACATACATATGACAAATTTTTTCTTTTTTCCCATTTGCCCATTACATACACTTCGCTGCTGCGTTGCCGTCGCGTAAACGACACTTGCGAAAAGCAACTTTGATTATGCGTTGCAGCGCGTGCACTTGCGATGATTTGACGTTTTTCAAGGCACACTACGCATACTTACACAAGTTGTTATTTTTATAATTATTTTAATTATATTAATTTTAATCAATTGGGAAATAATTACGCAGAAGTCAAGCGCGGCGAGAAATGCTTCCAATATCTTTCGATGCTTTCAACGTATCGATGCAAAAGTTTTTGTTTACCAGCACTAGTTACAGGGTCACGTGTAGTTTTGTTATCGATATTCGCTAGCGACGGCACCTATCGATGGCTGGACGAAATGCACTGAACAGCTGTTGAAATCAATTTGGCGCACTTTCCTTTACTTTTTAAAAGTCAATATAATATATGTTATATACAATACGCTGTTGGCATTGTACAACACTGCATGTGCATAAACTTTGACAGAACTGCAATGTATTGTTTTTATCTTCAACATACACACACATATATACCCTGTTGGAGTAACTTCCTTATCAGTAATAAGCACAATGATACAGCCATGTGTTATTAATTTTTACGCTCAGTTGTCGACTAACACTCAACGGGAACGGTTATTCGTTAAAAAGAGTAACGATATCGTTGCGCATATTAAAGTGCAATTTTTCCGAACAATTCGATTCGCTCGCGCGTATATTTAAGGCAAAAAATACTCCATCTATTCATACCCCATTGTGAGTGCTAAGAATTTATGTTTACTGCGTGCGCATTGTGAACTTGGCTCCATCAATTGGCGAATCAATTTAATGAGCAAATTGCCAAAATATGTAAATGATTCGCAAATTATGACGGCCAGCGTTATCAAGCCATCGCGATTCTAATCAGCAGCCTGCTCGCTCCGTCTCGTTACACATGCCACTGCGATAACGGTTTCAAAATTGAAATCAAAAGTGCTGCCAATTGCATTGTGTTTGTCTATCGATAATTTGATTTGTAACGGAAGCACATCCTTAATACAAGCCATAAATGTATTAAACAAATTACACACATCTTATTGCGAGTGCGTGTGTGTGTGTGTGTATTATTGGGAAACAATTTGTGGCGCACAGTGGACAATGTTTCAGCGGCCGCATATGCACATTGTTATCAGGGAGCTGCTCTGATTATATATTGTTGATATGATAAAATACGCAAGCACTTCCAGCGTTTACTTTCTATGACCGTTAAATTGTTATTATTGGCTTATTTGTTGTTTCATGCATGATTTGTGGGCACGCCAAAATAAAAAATAAATAACAAAAAAAAAATGAGTGATTCGCGACTTGTTTAAACAAGCAAAAGCATAGGAAATTGTCTCAACGGCTGCTGCCGCTGCCATACAGTTTTTCAAGTAGATAACAAAATATGTCGCCGAGCTATTAATAAATATCGAAAAAATGTAATTTTATTTGCTATAAAATGTCTCTGCAGTGGCAGCCGTGGCGTTCGAGCTACTGAAATTAGTAATTAGCGTTGTAGTTTTTTGATTAAATACGCACACACACACACACACACAAACATTCTCGAGTCAATAATGTCGAAATATCGGAATTGTTTAAAAGCAACAACAAAATCTTGAGCAGCTGTGTGATAACAAGAGCCGAAGCTCTCGTCTCAGCCGTGTTTCAACCACAATATACACTTCGATTTTCGCTATAAATCTCAAGTTGTTCAGATCGTTATCTGTGCCAATAATTGTGTATTGCGTCTGCCAGAGTTTTGGTTTTTGGTTTTCACGCGCTTCGCTCAACTCACACGAATCGTCCATTAAGTGCCTTGATAAGCCCTTACCCGAACCCAATCCCCTGGACTTGACATTGCTCAAGTGTGCAGTGCATAGAGAATGTTTTTTTTTTTTTTATTGTTTTCATTTTTTACAATCGCAAATTTGACTTTTGCTCAATGCCAATCCGCGCAGAAGCTCTCAATTACACAATTAAAATCTGCCTGCAAGGCTTTGTCAAAGAACTTGAGTCATATGTGTCACGTACTTTGATCCGATTTTTTCTTATGCCCCCTCCTCCTGCCTTCCTTTCCCCTTCCTTCATATTCATAAATGTACATGGATGCATGCTTTAGTTGGCAATCGTTTTTCAACTAAATTTCAAATGAGTTCAGAAATCTCCATTTCAAGCAACGTTTAAAACGTGCAGAAAATAAAACAATTTCAAATTAAAAACAATATGACTGAAGTTAAACGTTTTTTACATTTTACGAGCATACCACATTTATCTTAACTCAAAAGTAATATAACGCTTACATTTGAAGAGATCGTATAAGAGCTCACGACGTTCAAGTCTCATGTTAAAGGTATTTCCCATTTTAAAAAGTACGAAACTTAAGAGGTTAGTATTATGTGAAAAAATACGCTTCAATCATTTGGGTCTATACTAAAGACAAGTCAGAGTGCCTTAGTTGAGCACAATCCAAAAACAGTCGAAATTATCTTTTCTTACCCCAAACACCAAGTTTCCTAGTTCTTGTGCTCGAATTTCGATATTTATCGATTTTGGGGTAAGACAGTCTCTTAAGATGACTTCTTGGCGCAGTCGAATATGACTTGTGAATCAATCAAGAATAAATCCAAAGAATTTGTTGACCAGATTTTCATATTTTTTCTTGGAAGACCCCACCTAAGGTCTAACCGATCTTCTTTAATCTAAAAAATATCCTGAAATTAAGTATGCACTTCTTACAAATTATAAATTATAAATATATACAAGTTATATAAAAAACTAAACGAGAAAGTAAGGATGTAAGGATACTTTCGGTAAGCTGATGATTTAATACCCTTGTAGACATTTTCCCAACGATTTTTCAATTATGTGAGAATAGTGAAAAAAAGCTCGTAAATGCTAAGTTGAAAATATCTTGCCATAAAAGAACCTATTTTTCGAACGATCGTTCCTATATAATAGCTGTATGATATAGTAATCCGATGGTGATAACATTTTGCACATAAATGAGGAGCGGAGTGAATAAATCCCGCTAAGATATCTTGATAAACAAAAAATTTTCCATACAAGAAACTGATTTTCGACGGATCGTTCCCATCGCAACTATATGCAAATATCCAAATGTATGTAACAGGCAGAAGGAAGCATCTCCGACCCCATAAAGTATATATATATTCTTGATCAGCACCAATAGCCGAGTCGATCTAGCCATGTCCGTCTGTCTGTCCGTCCGTCCGTCCGTCCGTCCGTCCGTCCGTATGTATGAACGCAAGGATCTCAGATCCTATAAGAGCTACAGACTTGAAATTTTAGACGTAGATGCTTCTAGTTCCCGCGCAGATCGAGTTTGTTTCCGATAATCGATAACTTACTCCGTTTCCAAGCAATCGTTTAAATTCGATATCGATATCCTGTTTTTTGGACAATTTTGGTAAATAATAAGAGCTAGAGTCACCAAACTTGACATATAGCTTCTAAAATAGAATATATATATGCATTTGATGTTGGAAGAAGAGCGTTCAGGGTATCCCCTAGTCGGGAGCTCCCGACTAGAACCTCTTACTTGTTAAGTTGTTAAGTAAGTTAAGATATCTCGAAAAACAAAAAAGTTGTTCATTCAAGAACCGATCGTTTCTATGGCAGCTATACGAAATGGTTGTCCGATCAGATCGGTTCCGACATAATTACTATCTGAAACAGAAAGACGGACTTATGAAAAATATGAAGACGATTTAAGACTGAGAGACTAGTTCACATAGAAGCAGGCAGATGGACAGCTGGACGGACGGACAGATGGATATGGCTATATCAACTCGGGTGTTCAACTAGTTCTAGAATATATATACTCTGTGTGGTCGAAGAAGTCTTCATCTGTGCGTTACATATCTCATAAAATATTTGTAATACCGTCTATACAAGGGTATAAAAAGAGCGCAGCGCATCTAGAGGTAAAGGTATAGAGCTAGTCATGAGTAATATTCGAGATATTTATTCGTAAATGCCATCGGTTTTAGTTATATTTCTGTCTCCCTCTCGCTCTCTTCGGGTCAAATGCTGAGCGTAATTGTGTAATTATTTCCTTTGTTATTATAATTAATGTTATTTGTAATATTGACACTTGCGCTCAGCGCAATAAGTTCAGCTGCCCGAAACACGTATCACTCATGATATTCTGTATATATAGTATGTATATATCGATTAATTGTTGTTGTTGCTTTTCTTTTCGTTTTTTATTGATTCACGCCTAAACTTTATTAATGTGCGCATTGCACTTAAGCGAGCTGTTTTCTTATATGGCGGGGTTAATACTTTCAATACGTTAATATTTTGATTTTTATTTTTTTTCCATTTTTTTTGTTTTGTTTTTGGAGGTGCAATTAAAAACCGGTTGCATTTGTTGAGCTGACATTGAACTTGATTTTAACTTCCGATTTTCGTACTCGTAACTCGCACACAGCAACTGCTGGCAATGTGGACCTAAGATGCGGCACCAGAGACACGGGAAGCCAAGGACACGGCTCTATGGACTGCTCAGTGTGCCGTTATTGCTGTTGGCCTGGTCACAGGCGCAGGCGCAAACAAGCACAGCGCTTACTGAACAGGAACTAAATGAGGGTGAGTTCTAATCGAAAAACAAGACACGAGCTAAGTAGCTGGTATGCCAGCTAAGGAATTGGCAATTTCGGTTGTAATTCGCAATGAGTTTAAGCTTTGAACGACTGATAAGGCGTCGGCCAAAGTAAACTGTGCTGATGATAGGGCGATAAGTTTTTGGAACAACCAATTAACCTTTGTTGTTGTTATTGTTAAAGTTAAACAACGTCGACCTTGAGCCAATCAGCTTAAGCCTTGGCTTAACACTTTAATACCTAAAACAACTTTGTTTACTTTCATATTTTTGACGTTAGTAGTTCAGGTGACTGTGATTAGTACGCCGTATACGCTCAGCTTTAGCGTTAGCGCCGAGGATAAGGATAAATACATAATTGAGAATGTCACGTGTCCCGCGGGCAGCGCCTCGACGAGCCTAGGCGCAGAGCAGCTTGTCTGGTAATGCTCAGATAAGACCCACAATTCAGTCGAATATATATATATTTAATCTAACACATTTTGCTTATGTTTATCTAGTGAAAATCTGGAGCCCTGCACGAGCTATACAACCGTCGTAACGCTGAGGGGCACGGCTGTAGGCGCCACGCCCTTTGACCAAATCGTAATTGCCTACA